GTTTCATTTAGAGAAGCAGACTGCTGGATTTTAGATGTTGGAGCTCAAGAAATCCAGTTTCCCTCCTTCCTTCCAAGCAGCCGCTGCTTTCACTTTCTTTCTCTCAGAGTTTGACCTGCAGAGAGATTTCAGTCTGTGTCAGACTCTACGATATGAACGCATCTGGGATGGAAAGAGAAAAACAACATCTGCAAGCAGAGACGTCAGCTCATATTCTCCATCTGCAACGCTGCCAAACAAGAAACTGCTTCATCCACAAAAGTCCACGTTTGTTCTTGTTTGTCTTCCTGCGTGTTAATAACGAGCCTCTGGTGATGGAGCGTCTGATTTCAGAGGATTTCTGTGGACCTGAAACATCCCAGAGGAGCCAACATCATCCAGGAGGTAGGACTCACTCCCAGCAGCAACCTGTCCGATGGTTTCATGTAGCGCTGGGTGGCGTTTGACATTTTCACTGCTAATGCAGGTCCAACACCTGAGCGGCAGCACTGATACCAAATGATCCTTTTTCAGACTTTACTTTGGGAAATGTTTTTCTAGAAAAGCCTTTTTTTGATTGAACAAAAGAAGCCAACTTTGTGGAAACAGAAGCAGCCGTACAAAAAGGGAAATCAGATCCAGTGTGAAACTGGTCTGAAACTGGACACATACGTTTAAATCAGGAAGGATCTGATCTCAGGATCAATTGGCAGGATTCTGGATCTGAGCAAACACTTGGTGTGAACTTTCAGGACTGTTTCTCAGAGTTATGGACACGTTTTAGTCTGAGTTACCATCACGGGGCTACATGGAACAGATGTCACATGACCTGAATGCAGTCTGTATGTGTGTGACTGAATGACTGACTGACTGACTGTTGAAACCAGCAGCAGTCTCTCTAATGGCCAGGAAGGGGCGACTCTACTGGAGAACACAGATGAATGTGTCATTATCGATGCTGTGTGTCTCTGGCAACAGTCACTGTAGAAAGTCAAATTTGTGAAGATGTTAAATAAAGATGTTTTCATCATCACATGCAGCACGACTCTCAGACGAAACTCATAAGTACACTTCAGGCTTTCTGGGTACTCAGCCTGGAGGACATACTGCAAGTACAAGTACATGAGTGTATCAGGGCAGCACTCAGTCCTCTGCAAGTCAACCAAGTCAAAAGTCTAGTGAAAGTGCTGAGTTCTCAATAAAGGTTGCTGTTTAAAGATTTCTGACAGGCAGAAGTTCATCAACATGCTGCTGTCTGGTTTTACTAAGAACCGTACGCCATTTTATGCCACTGATTTAACCCCAAAAACATCCATTGTGTTGAACTTTTCACCCTGAAAAATCTTTATTGACTTAAAATCAACAGAACACAAGTTAACACTTGAGTCCAGAAGACAAACCATGGTGAACATGACTTGTGAACAAACTATTTTAAGGAAGCCCAGATTTCCATGAGACTGATTCATGCCGAGTGTTCTGGTGTCTAAACAAGATGGATCTTCAACATTTCTTTAAATCTGGAGTTTTCTCTAAACCCAGCTCAGTGTCAGCTGCTGCTCCATCATTTCCTCTCATCTTGGATTGAGCTCAAAATGGATGTCGAGCTGCTTTTAGTTTTCAGAGATGGATTTTCGATGTGGGTTAAACAAAGTGAGAATTAATCTGGTCGAGTTTTATTAAAAGTCATAAAAACCCAGAGAATAAAAAACAGTGAGGAACTTTATACTTTGGCTTTTATTTAAATTCAGATGTAACTGCATGTAGAGATCACAACTCTATTTAAGGCTCATTTATTGATCATTTCAATGTTATTATTCCAAAGTGAAAAAAGCCTGGAGGAACTATGAATACAAAATACAGAAAATATGAAAATATGTAAAACACTAAAACCCAGCACACAAGCTCACACAAAACAATATACATTAAGAGACAAATTAACATTTAACCTGCAGTACATCAGGCCTTCAGCATCGTCATCACCACCATTGGTTATAAAAATCATCATCAGCCACCATTTTTAAATTAAAGACTTATCAGGGAGCATTTAACCCTCCTCCTCAACATCTATTTGACCACAGCAATATAAACCTCCAGAAAAAGATAATAATTAGGTTGTTAACCAGGTTTATGTGTGAGGTACTTTGTTTCTTTGTTGACTGCCTAAATAGACCTTTACATAAAATATAACCACTCTCCCAGCCCCTCTTATACATCCAGAAAACTTTTTACACGACAATAGAAAAATATGCAAATCACCATAAAATCTCAGTGATTGAACTAAAATTGTTTTTTTGTTTTTTTTTTATTTAAAGATACAGATTTAGTTATTTATAACATTTGGAAAGAAAAATAGTTCATGTTATCAAGGATAGTAACATGTATTTACACAATTTCAAACATTTTGAAGGCTTTTCTTCTTATAACAGAACATCATTATCAAAACATCAGAAATGAAAACATAACAGTTCTTTATTTACAAAAAAAAAAACAGCTATAAAAAGGAAATCTGAGCATTGTGTCAGGGATTGCTGTATTCTACTGTAAATGTCATTTATGCGATTATGGATGTGTGCTATAGTAAAAAACAAAGTTAGTCACCAATATGAGTGTGACAGAATATGAACAGCATATTATTTTTCCTACAGTCCAGTCTGCACTACTGTGCACATGATGAGCAGAAAGTGTGTGTGAACTTTGCTTCGCCTTTTGACTTGTACACTCCTGCCAAAATGAGCAACCCAATACGGGTTTGCAAGTGGGTCACATCCAAGTCTGTCCAACTGTGCACATACACAGAGCGCCTTTCTAAGTTTGTCATCTCAATTATATCCTCTTTAATTGGTGGTGTTATGAAGAGCTGAAATGATGGCATCATTGATATCTGTAAATATCTGCAGAGACTGTGTAGAAGGACAGAGCAGCAGCAGAGCAGTCCAGATCCACTGATGATACTCTGTCACATCCAGAGGAACACACAGGGATGATGGTGGACTTGACTTTGTGTCTGACAGTGGAGCTGATCTCAGAGCAGTTCAGACTGCAGCACTGTTGGGATTCCTCTGTCAGTCACTGCTGGATGAAGCTCTCCTCTCCACTCTACCTCCCAGTAACATGGCCCAGTCAGAGCCTCTCCACACACAAGCTGATGCTGCTGCTTCAACCTCTCTGGATCATCAGGACACAGCTGATCCTCTCTCAACACCACCACCTTTCTCATCACTCACTCTCACTTCTTCCATCTGATGAGAGAAGAAGACAGACAGCAGAAGTCATAAATCAGAGTTTACAGAGACTCCCTTCATCAGCTGTCAGTCAGTGATGCAGCACATCCAGTATAAAGACCAGCAGGGACTTCAGTCCTGTTCAGACCAAAAGTGGAGCGGCTGTTCTAAAAACATTTGGACCAAACTAAAGACACATGTACAGAGATATATATATGATGTTAAAGGTCCTATATTTTCATACAAAGACTGAACAGCTAAACATCAGCTGTGGTTACTCGACTTCAGCAGGAGGTTCTAGTCTGTAGAAAGACCACATGGTTACTAAATGTAATGATGGTTCTCTGAAATAAGAGCCAGTGATTTGCAGCCTTCAGTCAGACTGATCTCAGAGCTGTGACAAAGATGAACTGATCAGAAGTTTAGTGTTGAAATGAGAGAACAAAAACTTTGAGATCAGATTTGATGGTAGGACAGTTTGGTTACTGTCTCTACAGGTGCTGGTCATATAATTAGAATATCATCAAAAAGTTTATTTCAGTAATTCCATTCAAAAAGTGAAACTTGAATATTATATTCATTCATTACACACAGACTGATATATTTCAAATGTTTATTTCATTTAATTGTGATGATTAAAACAGACAACTAATGAAAATCCCAAATTCAGTATCTCCGAAAATTTGAATATTACTTAAGACCAATACAAAAAAAGGATTTTTAGAAATGTTGGCCAACTGAAAAGTATGAGCATGTACAGCACTCAATACTTAGTTGGGGCTCCTTTTGCCTGAATTACTGCAGCAATGCGGCGTGGCATGGAGTCGATCAGTCTGTGGCACTGCTCAGGTGTTATGAGAGCCCAGGTTGCTCTGATAGTGGCCTTCAGCTCTTCTGCATTGTTGGGTCTGGCGTATCGCATCTTCCTCTTCACAATACCCCATAGATTTTCTGTAGGGTTAAGGTCAGGCGAGTTTGCTGGCCAATTAAGAACAGGGACACCATGGTCCTTAAACCAGGTACTGGTAGCTTTGGCACTGTGTGCAGGTGCCAAGTCCTGTTGGAAAATGAAATCTGCATCTCCATAAAGTTGGTCAGCAGCAGGAAGCATGAAGTGCTCTAAAACTTCCTGGTAGACGGCTGCGTTTACCTTGGACCTCAGAAAACACAGTGGACCAACACCAGCAGATGACAATGCACCCAAACCATCACTGACTGTGGAAACTTTACACTGGACTTCAAGCAACGTGGATTCTGTGCCTCTCCTCTCTTCCTCCAAAGGAAATGCAAAATTTACTTTCATCAGAGAACATAACTTTGGACCACTCAGCAGCAGTCCAGTCCTTTTTGTCTTTAGCCCAGGCAAGACGCTTCTGACGCTGTGTCTTGTTCAAGAGTGGCTTGACACAAGGAATGCGACAGCTGAAACCCATGTCTTGCATACGTCTGTGCGTGGTGGTTCTTGAAGCACTGACTCCAGCTGCAGTCCACTCTTTGTGAATCTCCCCCACATTTTTGAATGGGTTTTGTTTCACAATCCTCTCCAGGGTGCGGTTATCCCTATTGCTTGTACACTTTTTTCTACCACATCTTTTCCCTCCCTTCGCCTCTCTATTAATGTGCTTGGACACAGAGCTCTGTGAACAGCCAGCCTCTTTAGCAATGACCTTTTGTGTCTTGCCCTCCTTGTGCAAGGTGTCAATGGTCGTCTTTTGGACAGCTGTCAAGTCGGCAGTCTTCCCCATGATTGTGTAGCCTACAGAACTAGACTGAGAGACCATTTAAAGGCCTTTGCAGGTTTCTTGAGTTAATTAGCTGATTAGAGTGTGGCACCAGGTCTCTTCAATATTGAACCTTTTCACAATATTCTAATTTTCTGAGATACTTATAATAGATAGTTATAATAATCAAAATGAAAAGGAATGAACACTTGAAATATATCAGTCTATGTGGAATGAATGTATACATTATACAAGTTTGACTTTTTGAATGAAATTACTGAAATAAATCAACTTTTTGATGATATTCTAATTATATGACCAGCACCTGTATACATCTTGTGATCCTGTCAGCTGGAATCCAGCTTTATTTCCTGGAGACATGAACACAACACATCAACTCAAACACATGATCACAACAAGCTTCTGGCTGATCTGATTGGCTGCCTGTTTCTCTCTCTCTCTGTCTTTCTGTCCAATCCTGAAGCCTGTCACCATCCTCCTCTCACAGCTTCACTGAGGAAAGCAGCCGCTGAGAAGGTTGGAGGTTTACAGGAAATACTGGATCTCTGCTTTGATACTAACTGTGTTTAGTACAATACTGCTGAAACCAGCATGGACTGAGTCCAACCCTCTACTGACCTCAGAGTCTCCAGTCTGCAGTGTGGACTCTCCACAAGATCAGACAGCAGCTTCACGTCTGAATCCTGCAGCTTGTTCTCACTCAGGTCCAGCTCTCTCAGATGGGAGGGGTTGGACTTCAGAGCTGAGGCCAGAGAAGCACAGCTGATCTCTGACAAACTGCAGCCCCTCAATCTGAATAAAGAATAAATGAAGGCAATGTTCCTGCTTGAAATCATTCAGTGTTTAATAATCTGTTCGGAGCTGAAGAAGGTTTAGAATGTAGAAGTTTAGAAAATGGAAACCCTAAACACCTGAACCCAACAAGATGCAGGTTCAAACTGTAAAATACAAAAAGGTAAAAATAGCTCTCTTTAATATTAATGACAATGTGCTGCTACTTCAATAAAGACTTCACCTCTTAAACTCTGCAGCTCCACCAGTGGCTCCATAATTAGTCGGGTGGGTGGGGTGGGGGGTGGGGGGGGCAGTTGATTTATACATACATGAGGATTCAGATAATGTTTCGAGCTGAACCACATTTCACAATTCAGCTGCTATAATCGTGACAAAACAAGTGGAAACAGCTGCTGACATCATAATTATTACGTTGTTTTATTCACCAGAGCATCAGCACTGATCTGTTGTATTTCATGTTGTAATACTAATAGTGGCCATTATGTAGTCTGCACATGTCACTCCAACAGTACAGCCCTGTGATGACAGGTGTAATTGGGGCTGTAGGCCATATTTGAGATAAATGTTGATGTGTAATTTCTTAAAGGACTGATGATAAAATGCTCACCTCATCAAGCTGACGGCTGAAACTATCTCCTGTTTACAGGCATAAGGCCGGCACCAAAAAAGTTACTGGAGTTCTGTGTAGTGCATGATAGCATAGGCTACTGTAATCTGTGACGGTTTGAACAGATGCTATAATGTTTATTGGAACCTCGAGATGTTTCTACATGTCATAATGTTGACAGACATGTTCCTGGATTGTGAAGATGTGATCTTTATCCTTTAGTGCTGACATCTGACCTGCTCATCTGATAGAGATCACATCAGCAGGCTGAAACAGTGGACAGATGATGTAACAGATGATGTGCAACATATCATATTTAATTGACGTCCCTTTAAAATGGCTCAGAGGCAAGGAGATCTCACTTCGAATGCCTGTTCCCTCGACTCCTCGCCTCTCCTCCTTGACTCCTCCACACTTTACCAGCATGACTATCACAGCATTCTGCATTGTTTTTCAACAGGACAATGAACCCAAACACACCTCTACGGCTCTTTGACCAAGAAGAAGAGTGATGGAGTGCTGCGTCAGATGACCTGGGGTGCTTCTCAAGTCAGCACAAGTCTTTTAATGACCAAAACACCCCCTTTATTGAATATCCATAATTGATTGGACGCTGTAGCTGATCAGAGGGATCTGATACATCACAACATCACTGCAGTTTCATACCAGAGAGAAGACAGATAACACATTAAACTCTAGTGCATCACTGCAAAGTTACGCTAAAACATTTAGCCTAATGAATCAAAGGTGATCACATTCTGTGTTATTCAATAATGAATGCACAATCAGAATATCAATAAATAGAAAGGCAGATAATTAATAAATAATATAACAATGCTGAAGTTAGCTTCTGATTTGGCACTTAAGGGGAAAGTTAAGGGGAACTTAAATGAAAGTTAACTTACATTGCTCAGCGACCGATTCTCCATTTTTTGAACCTCTTACGGTTGTGAAAGCTGTTATGCATTTTAGGCAAAGGCTTAACGCTGTCTGAAACACTTCAATCAAATCAAATCAAATTTCACTGCTTTTTCTCCACATGCAGACCACATTAGACCAGGTCCAGATCCAAAACCACTATACCTAGAGCTCTCAAATCTAGACTAGATTGTCCCAGAGAGGCTAAAGCTTCAATCAAACATAGTTTTCAGATTTGTGAAACCTTTATTCAATTTCTGGAAATGCTTTAAAGGATGATTTATCTGCTTTTTTCATGTGTAGACTACATTAGATCAGGTCCAGATCACCACTACACCTAGAGTTCTCAAATCTGGACTTAATTGTCCCAGAGAGTCTAAAGTTTCTTTAAAACACAGTTTTAGATTTGAGAAAAATGTATTCTGTTTGTGAAAATGAAAAAAGGGTGGTTATTATATGCTTTTTTCAGACCAAGTGACCTGGCCTTGCAGCCTTTTGACAACTCTGCCTCTGATTGGTTAGTACTCCTTTCCTCCACTGATTAGGCTGATGAGAACATATTAAACACATTAAAACACGGCAAATGCATTGAGTACTGTAATGGAATGTAACTGAGTACATTTTGTGCTTTTGTTGTGGAGTATATTCACAATGTGGTAGTACTTTTACTTAAGTAAAGGATCTGAATAATTATTTCACCTCTGATTATGTTTATGATGTGTTTATATGTTGTATATATTATGTATTTACTATATACAAACGACATTAACTACAGGCACCAACAGAGAGATTGCAGAACCTCCACTGTCCGTTACATCCAAATGAAACCCAATATTAAGACATTAATGCAATCGATTCTGCTAATTTTTTAGCTCTAGGTACACAGTTTGGTTTAATGTGGTTTCACTCTGTAACAAACTACATCAAATATATGTATCACTACAAATGCAGCTAATTTATGGTGTTTATTTATTTATTTTTCATTATTGCTAACAACCTTATGCCAATAATGCCTCAACCATGGAGCGTTTTTCTGGTTGCGTCCATTCTGCCGACATTGCCTGAATGCATCACAAGTAGCAGGACATGAGATCAGCTGTTTTGCATGGGCAACCAGGTTTACTTCATGTTACATTACAAAGTTCTTGCAGTGGCCCTTTATAGTATTTTCATAACAGGAATACAAGTTTCAATAATCTGAAACTGTGTTAAAGAAACTTTAGTCTCTCTGGGACCATCTAGTCCAGATTTGAGAGCTGTATGTTTAGTGGTTTTGGATCTGGACCTGGTCTAATGTGGTCTGCATGTGGAGAAAAAGCAGTGAAATTGCCCTTTTTTAGATTTAAAAAAAACCTTTATTTAATTTGTGAAAATGAAAAAAGTGTTTCAGACAGCGTTAAGGCTTCGCCTAAAATGCATAACAGCTTTCACAGCAGTAAGAGGTGCAAACAAAACGGAGAATTGGTCGCTGAGCAATGTAAGTTAACTTTGACTTACATTCCCCTTAACTGCTGCCAATCAGAAGCTAACTTCAGCGTCGTTCTAAAATAGGCATTGTCATTTGCTCATTTGTCAAGTTCCTGTTTTACTCTGTAGTTTGGATCTGCGTCGTGTCATTGTCTCGTTTTACTTCCAGAGTTTGTCTCATTGGTTGTCTTAAGTATTTCACCTTTGTGTGATTAGTTTCTACCTGTGTATTTAAGTGGTAGTCTGTCTTTCACTCTTTGTATGTTCAATGTTCTGTATTGTGTGCTCCACAGTTGAGGTTGGATTAATGTTTTGAAGTGTTTCGGAACTCCTTTGGGTTCTGTTATTCAGCCCTGGACTGTGAATTTCTTTATTTCTGTTTTGGACAAACTGCCTCACCTGCAGCTGTAAGTTTAATCCTCTTTGTGAAAAAAATCTTACTGTATTATACTTTCTTCAAGGTGGCTACTTTGAAGAATCTAAAATGTTAAAAATTCTGGTTTGTTTACCCTTTTCTTGTTTAGTACATAATTCCATTTGTGTTCTTTCATAGTTTTCATGTATTCAGTATTGTAGAAAATACTAATAAAGCAAAAACATTGAACAGTGCCCAGACTTTGACTGGTACTGTATGTCAGCATGAACTTTGGGGAAATGTGAACAAAAGACATCTACAATATTTATTTTAGGAATAGTGGAGTCATCAAAGCTTCTTCACTTCAAACTATTCAGTCAGTATAAGCTTCATAACAATGTTAGAAAAACAAATACTGAATATATTTTCTGATAGCTGAAATAGAGATGATTTATTTATTCATTGTATTTATTATCATCATTTATTTAAAACAGGGAGAATAGAAGTTGAAAATCAGGAGTTTAAGAGCTTCAGAGTGAATTATCCAGTTGAGATGTTACTTGTTATATTAAGGTTTTAAATGTGGAGCTCAACATTGCTCTGCCACAGTCAATGGACTAAACCACTGAAGAAGAAAATAGACTTTAGCATTAAGATACTCAGTGTGTATCAGTATAATATCAGCCTTATGCCTGCAGTTTACTCTCACCACATCATATTCATCTCAGCACAGAAGGAAAAAATGGTGTCTGACCTCAGAGTCTCTAGTCTGCAGTGTGGACTCTCCAGAAAACCACACAGCAGCTTCACTCCTGAATCCTGCAGCTTGTAGCTTCCTCTCAGGTCCAACTCTCTCAGATGGGAGGGGTTGGACTTCAGAGCTGAGACCAGAGAAGCACAGCTGATCTCTGACAAACTGCAGCCCCTCAATCTGAATAAAGAAAAAATGATGGAGATAAAAATACATTTCTAATCCAGTCAGATGTGTTCAGGTTTTAAATGTGGAGCTCAACATTACTATGTCCTAATCAATGAGCCTTTCCCTAAAATGAGTAGAGGGACTTTGTCATTGTGTTATTGTGGATCATCATAATGTCAGCGTTCTACAGACATCATCCAAATGTCAGCACAACATTCATACACCTATTCATGTCAACACAGATCAATAACATGCTGCTGATCTCAGGCCAGTCTGGAATAATCATCAAATCAGACATGTTACTTCATTTTCTTCTAATGTATAACAATTATGCGTCATTTTATGAAAAATATTCAACATGTTTTCTATAGAATTCCAAAATGTCCAATATGAAATGAATAAGAATTTGAGTGAATAGAAAACATTACAGCGCTCTTTAACACCTGTCCCAGCACTTCTGATGCTCATTTCAAAGCATCTCCAACACACAACTGACTGACTGTAAGCTTCACCCTCAGTTGTCTTTATAACTGGGGATCGGTTGCAGATAAGTAAACATTTCTAGGAAAAAACAGTCAGGTTGACTAGTTTTAACTATGGGTGAACAGACTGGGGAAAGAACAAATTCCAGCTCATTTGCCAGAGTGTGTGAGAAGATTTTTGAGACAACCTCACAAAGGCCGGCATAATTGTACTTTTTACTTAGTGGTAGGTTCATCTATAGAACAGTGTGTAGTATATGAAATATTAGCTTGACCTTTAAAGAGAGGCTACAGAAATTGACCTGTAGATGTGAAGGAACTACACTTACCAGAGGGGCTCGCAAGAGGTCTCAGAAGGAGGTAGTTTAAGATCTGTATTGAATATTTGTTGTGTTAAAGGTTGACATATCTCATTTAAAGGCAGGGTAGGTAAGTTTGAGAAACTACAAGAAACTGCTGGATTTTTGAAAATATCCAACAGAGAAACTCCCGCGTTGCCGACTCTGCTGGAGGACGAGCACAGTGTGACGAGCGGAGAGCAGCGCGATGCAGTGGCTCACATCAGGGGTAAGAAAACATTTAACTTTATCGTTATGAAAATAAACAAAACAACTAACCCAGTTGTTAGTACTCACTATCTAGCTAGCATGTTAATATTGGATAGGTTTAAAAAGACTGACTTTGATTCAGTAACGAGTTGGCTAGCTAACTGTTAGCAACAGGTAGCTGTGCTAACAGCTGCGGTAACATTGGGCAAAGCTAAAAACAGGCTGATACACATTTTCCCTTTTCCATCAGTTACACTACACGAATGTGAATTTCGTGTTAGACTCATGACATGTACGCTGTTTTGCATGGTAGATCTTCCACTGTAACAGCATTATTGTCTCTGATGAGGACTGCACCCCACAGCCAAGCACAGACCGGGACAGGACCGGGGTCAAGGCGAAGCAGAGGAGGGAGGGCTGCCAGGGTCCGAGGAAGAAGAGGCAGGACGGGGAGGATGAGGTGCAAGCCGAGCAGCACATACCTGCGTCGAGCTTCACACTCCAACAACGGGATATGAACAGGTATGTATATTTTAATATTAGTCTACTGTCTCCCAGTGTACTTGTTTCAAAGATTCTCTGGTGTTTCCCCCTAAGCCCTTTGGGGGTCAAAAATAAAGTGCTATGTAATCCATCACTATTATGTATTATGTTATTACTATTTTATTATTGTTTACTGATTACAATAACTAACTACAGCTCTGCTTCAGCCATTGGCTCATCTGTGTCATGTACATTGACCTGGTGAGTAATGTAGACACAGAAGTCCTGTTAGAGAACAACAAAGCCCTGTTCAATAAAAATATCTGAGGATGTTGATGAATGTTCTTTCCATTTACACAGATCTTTCCCATTTGGGGTTCTAACAACTATATATTCCTTTACAGACCAGAATCTGAGGACTGTGAACATCCAGACTACAGTGTTTCCATGCACCACACATGGCTGATCTTCCAGACCCAGGACAGAGTAACAAGGCAGTTCAGTGGGGCAGCATGCAGACAGTTTGTAGTGTGGCAGTGTGGAGCACTTAGACACAGAGTTGTGATACTGAGTTGCTATTTCTGGAAGATACGCAACTGTTCTCCAGATCCATTAAGACAATACAGAGGTTTAATCCTAGCAGGGTGTAAGATGTAATGTCACTAACTGACACAGTGCTACACAAATAATTCTATCCACTGTGTGGATGAATACCTGTACTTTTTTTTTTGTTTTATTCCCAGGAGGGCAGAGAAAACAGAAAATATCTTTCCCTGTTCTAGATAATAATTTCATTCTTTTTTAAATAAAACATTGAAAAAGATAAATGCCTTTTCTTTGCACTTGCAGCATAAACAATCAAGCAACTACATGTATACCTTATGTCTCCAATAATGACATCCACATGTGGTATAACACTTGTTTATTGATATTAAATACTACTAAAACTACAACCTATATCACAAATAGATCATTTAAAAAAAAAAAAAAAACTTTAAAAATAAGTATATACAGGAATCGACAAAGTGTGTCCAGAGGTGTGTTGACTGATTATGAAAACAGTTCAGACTTTGTATGTAGCATTATATCACTGCTGTGGAGATGATTAAATATATCACAGTCACCTCTCTGACATGATTACCACATTTCAAAACCAACCATATTACTTTTTGTTTTACATTTCGCTGTATCTAGCAACACAGTTGGGGCAGGGACATCTGACTGAACCCCATTTTGACGGGGATCATAAGGTCTCCTGGTTCTGCTTCTAGGCATCTCCTCAGTAGTAGACAACCGGAGGAGGAGGAGGAGGAGGAGGAGGAGGGCACTCTGGAGGTCTGCAATGTAACTGTAGTCCTTCACCACCTTCAATGAGTACAATCTCCACTTCCTGGACTTTTTGTTGTACATCTTGCTGTACCTGATAATACAGAAATGAGGATCAGCTTATTGAAAAGTTTGTAATACCTGACATCATTCTCTTATACAGTAGTTAGCATTTCCACATAAAATGCAATCAAAACAATAAATCAGCAACATCTATCTGTATTCCTCATACTGTTTAATCTTTTTTGATTCATCACTTAAATATAAATGTATTGAGTAAAATGCATAAGAGTACTCATAATGCAACATACTGAACTGTGTCATCAGCTTTTCTCCTGGCTGGACTGTGGACACGGTGGTTGTAATCCAGGCCAACCAGCATGGTCTGATCAGCATATACTGGTGAGAAGTACAGACTCCAAATCTGCAGGTGACCTGAGGGCACAGTAGAAATAAAACATACAGGATTTTATTACTTCTGGTAAAATAAGTAATGGCATAACACCAATTACAGTAAAAGATTTTCACACTGTAGGTTTAGCTATGAGCAATGTCAGACTATATTATAGGTAGCTTATATACCAGAAACACAGATACTTGGGGACCTTTAGCCATCCTTGTTTATGTAACGTTATACTAATGTTGAAATGTCTTTCTCATAACTACAAACACACAGCTACATCACCACATTTGTAAAAGTAACATACAGTCAAACAAGACACAAGATAATCACACAAACAGATTAGATACAAGGTAAAGATAACGTTAAGATAGGTGTAAACATAGTATAACAATAAACCTATATGGTGAATAACTAAACCGGTGCAGTCTACATTTACATTGTCTAACCTAATGTTAGCGTCGGAAAACACAGCTCGCACTGCTGTTTTCCAGCTCACCTACAACTAGATATAATTCATCGTCTCTACTCTGGCTCCTACACCAGTCTGCGCTCGTAGCAACAGTTAGCTGTATGCTAAGTAGTACAAAATGATAAAAGCCAGATTACCTGTCCAGCAGAAATAAAGCCACCAGGCTGTGAGTCAGCCCCTCGGTGTTCCTCAGTTGTCACTATCGTTGAAAAGCCATGCAGATATCACCCACCGGTCTGACCGCTTCGTTCATCAGGTCTGAGCGAGCTGACCGGTTGCGCGCATGGGGGCAGCTCCTGTAGCAGCAGGGCTGGTAGCCATGGCAGCGAGGGAGAGTCAGCCAATCATTGCATTCGGTTCAAATGGAACGAGTGGCTGTGTTTACTGCAGCCCTGAGAGGACTACAGACAGCTGATTTTTATACTCTCTTTTTCAGTGTACCTAACTTTTTAATATGCATTGGTGTATATAGACAGTTTCATCAAATATGACAAAAAGTGTTTTAGAAGCAACTTGCCTACTCTGCCTTTAACATGAAATTATTCCCATTGTGTTGTGTATTTGAATGTAATGCCTTATTTTATTGTGTTGGAGTGTGATATAATTCCCTGTGACTTTGAAATACAGAACATTTAAGATTGGAAAAAGGTGTACTGTACTGATGATATTGGGCACTGGCTGAAAATGAGCTATTTAGCTAATTCTGGTACATTTACATTGAATGCAATGACATTCCTGAAAACGTGTTCTTTTAATGTTTTATAAATATATGTGTCTCACATGGAACAAAAATGATAAATACGGATTCAATCTTGCAGAAAACTGAAGGATAAATCCTACAGTTTCCTTAACATGAATCCAGTTCAGACTACCAAACGTTTAAAAAGACCTGTTGTGATTCATGCTCAGACAAACTGAGAAATGAGAAATTTAAAACCTCTGTTATGGATTTAAATTTAGTAGTTAAACACTGGACAATAGTAGAATACATGAACTCACCTCAGAATCTCCAGTCTACAGTGTGGACTCTCCAGTCCAGCAGACAGCAGCTTCACTACTGAATCCTGCAGGTTGTAGTTATGTCTCAGGTCCAGCTCTCTCAGATTGGAGGGGTTGGACTTTAGAGCTGAGGCCACGACTTTCCAGTGAGTCTCTGAGAGTCCACAACTAGAAAAGCTGTAATGACAGAATATAAAACTTAAAATATAATAAAATATGACACTTAAAATAGACAATGTACATATTGCATCACAAAGCACATTAACATGAGCGGCTGCAGCTCAGCTGGTCACCCTTTGATCACAAGGTCTGTGGTTTGAAACTTGAGCTCTTGTCCACATGTCAAAGTGTCCTTCAGCAACATAATGAATCACAAATTACTGCTTTAAAACAAAAGTGTCTTCCAAATGACTGTAATGTGAACATATCATATTGTGATTAAGAGGGCGCTGTGACTTGTGTTAAACTTTATTTTAATGTAATGCTTGCTGTTCATCTCCCATCAATTTAGTTTAATGACTCCTAATGCACTGATAGTATACAGTTGCAATCAAATTTTTGAGCATTACACACTTAATTTTCTGCATTCTAGTGATTTTTTCTGCACCAATTTATGGGGGAAATATTTTTATTTATATAAAGGGAAACACAAAATTCAGGTGGCAGGTGGCAAAATCTAAAACGCTAACATCATATAATGCAGTGCAGCTCTCAGGCATTCTGTGTTGTTTCCAGATATGTTTCTCCTGTAGATCAACTTTTCTTATCATCCCTGCTAAGTCACACATGCAGGCGTGATTTAGTCCTCCGTCCTCTTTTGTCATATTCACAGGGAGAGACTTGGCCCAAAAGAAACTGTGTCAAGTCGCTAAAATTACTAATTTGTACAGGCACATTTTCAGGTCATTTTATAAGCAGTAGTTTTTGGACTGCACACTTTTTTTCTATATTTAATAGCATGTTTTCTCATTGTGCAAAAAATCATTTTTCAAAGTGTTTTCATTTGTCATTTAACATTTCTTGTTGCAAACTGTTTTTCAGAACATTTTTAAGAAATGCTTTCAAAAAGTGATAGGGGCATGTCCCCAGTGTAAATGACACCTATGCCGACACGTTTTATTGTGTTGATGTTAGATTCAGGTTGCTGCCACTAGTCTCCATAAATGAACTATTAACTTAGCTAACATTATTGGTTAATAACAGTGGGACAAGTTATAAAAGTCTCATCATTACTGTATCTGACAGGACAGTTAACATCGTATGCTTACTTGTGTCTTACATCAGGCTTGCTTTCCGACGGTCAGTTTGTTCGGCAGTGTGTCCAGGTGTCAGACTCCACAGTGTAGCAGACTTGGGAAAAAAAAACCTGCCCTACTCTGCCTCTGATTGGCTGTCAGTTTTAGGCAGTAGGAGATTGGTTAGGTAGAGCCAGTCATAAAGATGCAAAGCTCACGCTACAGGGGACTAAGTAGATATAACGAGCAAAGGCTGTCTTGTTTCAGTGAGAACAAGGGTCGTCGTGGCCCTCAGTGCCTGTTGCCACCAAGTCTTGCTGCAGGTCTTTTGCAGTGACTCAAGGGTTTTTCACAACCTGCCTTCACAGAAAGCCGGTTGCAGCCGTTGATGTCTTCTTTCTGCCACAGTTCCACTGTTAACCGCTTATCCTGCGTACAGGGTAGCCAGTCCATCACAGGGCCACACACATCCGCGTTTAATTACAGTCCCTGGGTAAACCAGTCTCACAGCCAGGGATGTCACGATGATTGAAAGACAGGGAGGGCTTAGCCCCCAGGGTATGCGTAACTTGCGGTTTTGTTACTGTATTAGAACTACACTAATGTCAACAACCAATGAAGAAGCTGTTAACAAGTAAAAAGCGACATAAGACATTCTCTTCTTCCAATTCTCCTCTGTTTAACAAAAGTTACTGTAATGTTAGTTTTTAGACAGTCAAAGCTGCAATTCACTTAGGCCAGACACTCCAACTCAGTTCTTCTGTAGGCTGTGACTTAAATGCTATCCAGCTGCTCATGTAAATGTGTGATAGTCATACCATATCAAATTCCTCATTCATTTAGATAAGTTGCAGGTCCAAATAATGCTATTTAATTACTCTAATTACTGTTACTGTACTGTAGATTGGTTCAATCAGAGTGTGATTTTGCCCTTTAGTTTGGCTTGCATACAAGTATACAGTGAATACTTAATTATGTAAGCTGTTGATAAGGATCCCATTTAAAGTGGCTACTGTCTGAATTTAATAACCTGATAGCGGAAGGAATAAAATATTTACTATAGACTATGTACAGATGCATGTATGTATGTGTGATTGCTTTAATTTTATTATATGTTCATGTGTGTACATCTGTGGGTATATGTCCACGTATTGCCTAGCGTAGTTTTTGTTAGGGAAACCTAAAGGCACTAGGGGGAAGACAGAAACATAAAGGGACCAAAAGATGTTATACTTCAGATGTGGTGTTGACATTTGACGTGTTCGCATGTTGTATGCTATGTATCTCCTTGGCCGGGTGGTTAAGTAAGTGAAATATTAGGCTTTATACTCACAATAGTGACCAGTGGGAATTCCATCCATAAATAACACAATTACTACTTCTGTCATGGGTTTCATACACTTTCTGTAATAAAACATCTACCAATCTGTCACACTCTGCCGGACAGCCATTCTTTGTGTTGCACTTTTTAGTTAGTATCTTCCTTATAGTATGTTGGGTTTTGGGGGTCTGTCTTGTCTGTCGTCTAGTGTTTGGTATCCCTTGTCATGTCTGTTACCCCAGTTATCCCTCTGCATGTCTGTCTCTTTTCCCCTGCTCTCTCCCTGCCTGTGCCTCATTAGTTGCTCCCGCCCTGCTCGTTAGTCCCTGTGTGTATATATACCTGGTGTTTCTGTCTTGTCTTGGTCGGGTCATTGTATGTTGTCACCCAGTGTTGCAGTTTGTGCTCGTGTCTTCAGCCTTACTCGCCGTGTCTCCCTGTTACCCTGCTCATTTTTGGATTCTGGTTTTCACCCTTTTGGATTTCTGTTGGACAGCCTTTGTTTTTGGACTCAGTCAATCAGCCACTCTGTTTATAAGTGTGCTCGTCTTTTGTTTGCTTATTAAAACCCTTCTGAACTGTTCCTGCTGGGTTTCGTGTCCTGCATTTGGGTCCTCCAACCTACTATCTGCTTCACCATACAAATCCGTGACACAATCTAAACCAATCAAACATACAGTACCAATCAGTCTTTCACCCCTCAAAGACCTGTAGGCCTTGCTTCATTGTAGTCATATATGTACAACATATGACAATTCTATCTGTTAATTAAGGTGTTTTACTTACTACTTTTTGTAGTAGTCTGAGGAAGACATCTTCTTCCAGGTGTGCAAGCAGGAAGTAAACTAATCTGGTCATGTGACCTTTCACACTAGTCACATGATATCGATCAATTTTAATAAAGACAATCTATTGTTTCATTTAAAAGTTAAATTTCTTGCCCAATGCCAACAATACAATTTTTAGAGCTTCAGAAGTAACAAAAAGGCATGGTCACAAATGTGACCGGTGGGATTAAACAGGTTAAACGTCACGTTCTGTGTCCTCTATGTGGTGCGAGAGAGCCCCTGATAACTAAACGTTATGTTCCAGTACGTCAAGTGTGGAACACATCGTGAAAATTTTATTTAAATTGTGTGGTGAGTGTCACAGAGCGCTTACTTCCTGTTGCCAGTAGATGGCACTACGACTATAACTTAATATTGGCTTGTAGATGTGTTCAGGGTAGAAATCTTATCAAACATGTACATTTTGGTGCAGATGTGAGCATGTACACTGAAGCTAAAATAATATCCTCTTTCGAGGTGAATCATCAATTTTGGACGCCACAGTATGGGCACGCCATTAAATTAAAACTGTCAAGTTTTAATCATCAACTGCTTTAGACTAGACAGCGAAGGTTTGAAGGGATTAATTCTCTAGGAGGAGTTGAATAAAGTACAGACCCTGTAAATTGACTTCCTGTTGGGTTTAGGATATGGCTCCATGGGGCTTTTTTGTACCACAGAAATTTCGTACATGTAGGTGCCACAGGGGCTTTTTCATTGAAGGTCCCGTTACCAGTAGGTGGCGCAATGACTATGGGTGAATATTAGGTGAAATCAAACAATGACTCATCAGGGACAAGGTGGTTCCAACTTTGTTCAGCTGGAGAAAAGCTACTGCAGTGACTGCATTTTGCTGCACGCCAAGGACACGCCCTTAACTGAAAACTCACAAGCTTCACAACATAGCATTATCACTGCTTTAAGGCTTTTCTGAAACAGTTTTGTATTAGATATGGCCAACCTCAAAAGTGGGAGGAGACAAGATGGCAACCACTGCCTTTCCCTGTCGAATCTTCCTTCAATCCTACAAAATTCAGCAAAATATAGTCATCCACCTGGAAACTTTATATTGCTACTGGTAAAGGAATGTTTTACTTCCATCTTTGTTGATATTTTTGTCATTTGTGTCTATGGACAAGGATTTTGTTTAAGGCCCTGGGAGCACACAGTGATTGAGAAAAGCTTTTATATTAAGTCTACCTAGTTTTTGAAGAAACATGTCGACTACAACCAAGTAGCTGGCAGGGGAAATGGGAGAGCTCAAAAAGTCCCTCAGTTTTATGTCTGAGAAGTTCAGCAAACTGGTGAAAAAGCAAGTTAACCACATGGGTTATGCTAGAACTACAGCTGGTGACCATGAAGGTAAGGATGCAGCACCTGAAGAAATACTTTATAGCAACAAGTTTTTAAATTCCTGACCAGTTAAGATCATTCACCTAGAGAGTCAGCAGATATCAACCTGTTACACTTTCCTAGGCAAGGATAACAAAACCCACGATTGTTGTCCAATTTGTTAATCAAAAGCATAAAGTTGAAGTGCTGAGACACTCCAAAAAACCAGAACCAGGGTATATGAGAATGAGCACCTGACAAAGAAAAATGCGGAAATGGCAAGAAATGGTATCTTTAGAAAGCAAAACAAAATACAAGCTACATGGACAAAGAATGGGAAGGTGCTCATAAAAGTTAAATAGTCCACCGGAGCAAGCAAAGGTGTTTGCGGTACGCATTCTGAGAGATGTGGATTAATATACGTGACTGAGTTTCTACTTTGTAATAAACTGCAACATGGTTGAAAATGTGCCCTGGCAAGGAGAAGCAAATAGAGTGTATCCTTTATTATGTCTTGGTTATGTCATGGTGGGGAAGCATGCTTTGAGACAGAGTTAATATGTAGTTTATCTTCATAATAGCATAATTATTTCTGTTATCCAGTTTCATCACCTCAATTTGAAAGATTTTGCAATTATATATTTTAATAGCAGGAGTCTCTTTACAAATTTTGTTCAAATTAAAGACTATTTGAAATCATTAAAATAGTCTTTTCAAGTCATTGCAATAAGTGAGACTTGGTTAACACAAAAGAAAGATGATTGAGTTAGAAAGGTATGATGTTTTCTGTCAGATCAGGTCAAAAATGTGGAATTTTATAGATGATACAAATTTATTTTGCTCTAGAAAAAATCAAAAGGATCTTATGTATAATATTAAAGCGGGGCTTAAAATACTGAAAAGCTGGTTTTATGTAAATAAATTGTCTCTCAACATCAAGAAAATTAAACTTTTAGAAAAGGTTGATGGAAACAGCAAAATTTAAAGAAGAAATTGACTTGAGTTGGTTTTTGTCTTTTCCAAAACAGAGTTAATGAGCAAATTAGGAGATGGAAACACTTGTGTTGAATAAGTTCTGGCGTAGCAAACCTCACATGCCTGATGAAATCTTATAGCCTGAAAACAGGGCTAGGAACTTGATAGATCTCCATCCATCCATTGTCAACCGCTTATCCTGCATACAGGGGGGGCTGAAGCCAATCCCAGCTGACACTGGGCACAAGGCGGGGTACACCCAGGTACACCCCCTCCATCGCAGGGCCACACATAGACGAACAACAACTCACGCTCACACCTAAGGACAATTTAGTGTCGCCAATTAACCTAGACTGCATGTCTTTGGATGGTGGGAGGAAGCCGGAGCACCCGGAGAGAACCCACGCAGACACGGGGAGAACATGCAACCCACGACCTTCTTGCTGTGAGGCGACAGTGCTAACCACCGCACCACCGTGCCGCCCTAACTTGATAGATATAAACACAGAAATGATGTTTGTAGACAATGGGAGTTTAACTAGAATTATTTCAGTAAGCAGCTTTAATACTAGTTTAGGAAACTTTTATAGCGTGGAGGTTTTATATTGTGTGTGTGCATGTAAAGTGTGTATCTTTACTGTAATACTGATGCTTCAGCTTTACAGTGTTAATAATCACATCTGGACTTACCGAGCCTTTCTGCAGTTCCTCACAGCTGGAATCAGTCTCAGTCGTCCCTCCTCTGATGTGTTGTACTTCTTCAGGTCCAACTCATCCAGAACCTCCACTGACATCTGCAGCATGTAGGCCAGAGCTGAGCAGTGGATGTCTGAGAGTTTCTTCTCTGATCTGTTCTCTGACTTCAGGAACTCTTGGATCTCCTGATGTACTGAGTGGTCGTTCATCTCCGTCAGACAGTGGAAGATGTTGATGCTTCTGTGAGGATGGATCTTCGTATTCTTCGTCTTCATCTCCTTCAGGTTGTTGATGGCTCTCTGGATGATTTCTGGACTGTTGTCTGTCTGACCCAGCAGGCCTCCTAAGAGTCTCTGGTTGGACTCCAGAGAGAGGCCATGAAGGAAGCGAACAAACAGGTCCAGGTGGCCATTTTTACTTTGGAGAGATTTCAACATGGCTCCCATTAAAAAGACATCCAGGGTTGAATCAACATGTTTTTTCCCCAGGAAGTCCTTCAGTATCTCTGTGTTGCTGCTGGTGTAACAGTGGAACATGTAGACTGCAGCCAGAAACTCCTGAACGCTCAGATGAACAAAGCAGTAGACTGTTTTCTGGAAGATCACACTCTCTCTTTTGAAGATCTCTGTACAAACTCCTGAGTACACCGAGGCCTCTGTGACATCAAGACCACACTGCTCCAGGTCTTCTTGGTAGAACATGATGTTTCCTTTCTGCAGCTGTTCAAACGCCAGCCTCCCCAGCTTCAGAAGAACCTTCCTGTCAGCCTCCGTCAGCTCCTGTAGACTCATCTCATGTCCCTCATCGTACTTGTGCTTCTTCCTCTTTGTCTGAACCAGCAGAAAGTGTGAGTACAGGTCAGTCAGGGTCTTGGGCAGCTCTCCTCTCTGCTCTGTAGTCAACATGTGCTCCAGAACTGTAGCAGTGATCCAGCAGAAGACTGGGATTAGACACATGATGTGGAGGCTCCTGGAGGTCTTGATGTGTGAGATGATTCTGCTGGACAGCTCTTCATCACTGACTCTCCTCCTGAAGTACTCCTCCTTCTGGGCGTCAGTGAAGCCTCGTATTTCCGTTACCCTGTCAACACATGAAGGAGGGATCTGATTGGCCGCCGCAGGTCGGGAAGTTATCCAGACGAGAGCCGAGGGAAGCAGATTCCCCTTGATGAGGTTTGTCAGCAGCAGGTTGACTGATGACTTCTGTGTGACATCAGACACGACCTCACTGTTGTTGAAGTTTAATGAAAGTCTGCTTTCATCCAGGCCGTCAAAGATGAACAACGGTTTCCAGACAGCGAGCTTCTCTGCTGGGACCTTCTGTAATGTTGGATGGAAAACATGGAGCAGCGTGAGGAGACTGTGCCGCTCATCTTTGATCAAGTTCAGCTCCCTGAACGAGAGCAGAACCAGCAGACTGACATCTTGGTTTTCCGAGCCCTCTGCCCAGTCCAGAGTGAACTTCTGCACTGAGAAGGTTTTTCCAACGCCAGCGACACCGTTGGTCAGAACCACTCTGATGGGTCTCTGTTGGCCAGGTAAGGCTTTAAAGATGTCCTGGCACCTGATTGGAGTGTCATGGAGGGTCTCCTTCTTGGAAGCTGTCTCAAGCTGCCTCACCTCATGCTGGGTATTAACCTCTTCACTCTGTCCCTCTGTGATGTAGAGCTCAGTGAAGATACTGTTGAGGAGGGTTCCACTTCCTGTTTCATCACTTCCTTCAGTCACACGTTCACATCTCCTCCTCAGACTGATCTTATGTTCATCTAAAACCTCCTGCAGACCACTATCTGCTGAAAGAGAAGAACAAATAACCTGAGACTAAACAGAGAGCAAGAATCCAGATAAATCAAATGTTTCTGGATGGATGATATTCATGATAATATTAAAAACCAAATGTTCCTGTAATTAAACAGAAAGTCCTGTTTTCAGACATGACGACATCAGCAGACAGATGAACAGTCTTACTTTGTACAGAGCTGCTCTGACTGGCTGTCTGCAGTCCAGCTCTGGTTCTGGATCTTACCTCCACACTGGGGACAGGAGGAGTCTCCTGATGAAGCAGACTGGTCCCAGTATGAGGTGATGCACTGTCTGCAGAACCAGTGTCCACAGCTGGTAGAGACTGGATCCTTCAGGACGTCCTGACACAAAGCACAGCAGGACGGCTGCTCCTCCACAGGAACAGGACTCCTCTTCCTCTTTCTGTGAAGACATTTCTTTAGAACTAAAATGATTTGTTGCTTGTTGTTGAAAAATCTCCAGATGTGTCCGACACTGTGTAGAAGCTCAGATGGTCACAGAGAACAGTAAAAGTGTCGTTACTTTTCTGTTTTCAGTCAGTAATGAAGATGATTGTTCCTTTTATTTCAGCTCTCCTGCTTTCAGAAACACTAATTAACTGCTTTTCCTGTCTGACTGTCTTATTAAACATTTAGTGATCTGCCTGGAGTTTGTTATTAACACAAACTCAACACTTCCTGCAGCTCCTTCACAGTAAAAGCCTCCATTAAAGAGAGCTGATTGTGTCCTTCACTGTTTTACAGTCACTCTGGGCAGCTTAGCTTGAGTTAGTTTGTTTTGAACTGAGGTTAGAAGTGGTCTAAATAATTGTGGTAGACCAGCAGTCTCAGACACAGAGCATGTAACAGTGGTGTCACAGGTTCAAGTCCAGACAGTTTCCTTTATGTATTTAGGAAGTTTCAAGTTTGCATGAGTCCTCTTAGATCAGATTTCAGCTTCTCGATGTGACTGACAGCTGTCGCAGATACTAAGAGGAAGACGGCACCAATGATTTCTCTTTGTCTGTGGCATAAATCTTAGTTAGCGGTTATATTAAGAAGCTGTGACTAAAATGTGACGTGAGGGAGGAGCGTGTGATGGCTGTCTTGGCCATTTCCTCTTATGCATTTGGCTTTCTTTATTGTGATATGTTTGTTTTTTGGTGCAACTTCAATACATATAACAGGTATTTCCATTATGTAAGCAACTGATTGTTTTAATAAACATTCCTTGTCCTTTTGTGTGTCTTAAACTACACAGTAATGATGGCCAAATGTATTTACCATAAGGAATTCGTAAGCATACATTCATGGACCTGGATCATTGTCGGATTGATTCTGTATTTCAACACAAATACATTTAACCGTTATTGTAACACTCAGTAAAAAAATCCCCAAGTCAAAATGATTCACACTCACTGAATTGTGTTACACTCAAACTGAATGAGGGCAACTTCCATCCAAGTGCCAGATTATTTTATTACACTGCAGACACAGTAAAGGGACAGTCTTGGATGAATAACCGCTTGCTTGTTTGATGTTGGATGTTTTGGTACAAACAAGTTAGGATGTTTTAATGAGTCTAGACTTTGAGAACTGTGTGGTCTGTATTTGTTGCACTTGTATTTACAGCCGTTTTTCCAGGTCTTTTCAGGATGAAGTGTGGCCTAAACATATTTTGTAATGCTTTACATTTCTTCTGTTTCTTGGTTCTTTTGAACTAAAACACTTTCATGAAGGGCACATTCACTTTAGAGTTTAAAAGTAATGAAAATCTTGGGTAACAATATCTGGGAGAAGTAAAGGCTGTTTGTCTTTTTTCAGAATTTAATCCAAGATGAAAGGGAGAGACTTTCTTTGATAATGAAGCCTAATTTCACTCTACAACTGGGAAACTGCAAAACATTACCAGCAACACTGAATGAGTTCGTAGCAGTTCTCTTACTTTGTGTCTGAGGGTCCAGGTTCATTACTGAAGACTGGAGGAAGATGTTTGGACCGGTCACTCTTCATAGACAGACAGCTGGATGCTGCAGACTCTGCTCTGTCCTCCTCTTCCTCCACACAAACACTCATCTTCTGGACTTCAGTCAGTCTGAGAGGTGAAACAGTGACACTGACTGTGAGCTCAGAACACAAGAACCAGGAAACAAGTCTGATGCTACACGACACTATGATCTCCATCCACACCAGCGTTTTAGCTGCGTATCAGAATTGATCTCTGTCTGAAAACATAAAAGCGGTCTTCACGTGTGTCAGTGTAAAAAAGGAAGAATGTCTGCAGTTGCAAAAGATTCTGTAAAATAAGAGAATGGAGTACTTCTACAGATGAACGAAGAATAGCAAAAGAACCATGTAATGATCCTCAGTAACATGTCGTTTATCCATCTGGCCATAAGGTGCTGCTGTGATAATTAGTGGTGTTAACTCACACTGGGGAACTTTACTTAATCCAACGAAGGTTAAAATCAAGGGCAACTGGACTTGGTTGAAGATACTGGAAGACGTTTTGTCCCTCATCCAAACGACTTCTTCAGTTCTGACTGACTGGCAGGGAAACTCAGCTATTTAACCTCAGTGGGGTCGTTGGCCCGGGTCATCGATACTGCTGGTTCGTTAGTGTTCCTTGTTGCTGTGACGACAGTCGTTACAGTCGTTAAGACTACCTGTGGCCAAGACTGAACGACCATCGTTGGTATCTTCAGCTAAGACCAAGAGGTAATGCTTGTTGAGTTTCCTGGGAAGTGATGAAAGGACAGCATTGTAAGTGGGGGTAAGTGGTGGCGTAGACCCCCTCCCCTGTTCAATGACGGCTTCTCCACCCTGGTGTAGATGCTTCCTTGACACCTCTTTCAAACCATCCGTCTTCTCTGTCTAAAATGTGCACCTGGTGGTCCTCAAACGAGTGTCCTCTGTCCTTCAGATGTAAGTAGACTGCAGAGTCTTGACCTGAGGAGTTGGCCCTTCTGTGTTGAGCCATGCGTTTGTGTAGTGGTTGTTTAGTCTCCCCAATATACAGGTCTGTGCATTCCTCACTGCATTGGACCGCATACACTAGATTGCTTTTCTTGTGTTTGGGTGTGCGGTCTTTGGGGTGTACCAGCATCTGTCTTAGTGTGTTCTTGGGTTTAAAAAAACACAGGGATGTTGTGTTTGTTGAAAATCCTCCTGAGTTTCTCTGATACTCCAGACACGAATGGGCGCTTGTTGGTACTTTGTAAGTGGGGGATCTGGGGTCCTCTCCCAGAAATACTCGAGCATTAAAGACTTTATTTCCTACATTCTGCTATAAATTTCTGCTCTCAAACTCCACCGCTCGGTCACATTAAGACAACTTTACTTAATGTGATCACTGGAACATGAGGTTTGAATAAATGACTAAAACATACCAACAAGCGCCCAAGCCAGAGAGAAGGAACAGAACCACCTGAAGGGGGCACTTACAGCCTGTGGATACCCTAAATGGACCTTTGTGAAAACAGCCACAAGATCCAAGAAGAACAAAACTACAGGGGAGGAGGAAAAGAAGGTCAAACGCAACAACATTTTGTTGTTGAAATAAAAGAGCATCGGTTTCAATTCTAGAGGAGGCACTTTGTAAGTGGGGGATCTGGGGTCCTCTCCCAGAAATTCTCGAGCATTAAAGACTTTATTTCCTACATTCTGCTATAAATTTCTGCTCTCAAACTCCACCGCTCGGTCCCAAACTGGTGGGTCCACTTGATAACTGGTGTTGTATGCTGGACGTTAAGTTGCTTTCAGGGGAAGTCCGACAGCGGAATATCCCATTTCTAAATGTGTACCTGCAATAACAAAAAGGTTTACAGTCTATCCCTCAGAGAAATAAAATATTTTTTTACCCCCAATGGTAATACCAAGAAACAGAGCATCCATCTTCCAGAGTTTACACAGTAACCGCCATGTGGGTAAAATTTTATAGTCTGACTTCCCACTTCCGTGAATGCAGCAAGGAGCTGCGCCGCAAGAAGGTAACAGAAGCACTGAAGGGAAGCAGTGTTGTGACAGAAGCCGCCCGATTCCATCAGCACTTAACTCCACACCGGCTCTCCCTGTGACAGAGGACTCCTTCACTAACACAACTTCCAACTTTATCATTTTGTTGACAGTGTTGCAGGCTCACAACACTCGACTCCATTGCCCCTCTTAATTACCCTAATAATTAGACGAAGAAAGCTAGCACCTTGGTATAACTTGCAAACCCATAAATGAAAGCTTATATCTTCAAAAAAATGCTGTTCTACCAGTCAAGAAGAATTAAGATTAAGGACCCTCCATGTAGCAAGAGTGGCTTACTATTCATCATTAGTAGAGGAGAACAAGGCCAAACCCAAGTTCCTCTTCAGCACAGTAGCCAGGCTAACAGAGAGTCGCACCTCCATTGAGCCTTGTATTCCTGCTAGCATAAGCAGTAATGACTTTATGAGCTTCTTTAGAGAGAAAACTCTAATCATCAGAGACAAAATTCAACAGCTTCTGCCAACTAGCATTGATTTATCTTCTCATTCAACACCTTTAGAAAAATCTACAAGACCTGATATGTACCTAGAGTGTTTTGCTCCCATTGATCTTCAGCAATTACTCATCTAAAGCTTCAATCGGACATTCAAGCCTGGATGACCTGTAGCTGTATTTTGCTGAACTCAGACAAAACTGAAGTTATTTTACCCACACACCTTCAAAATGTATTGTCGACATTGTCATTTTACATTGTACAGGCCTATTCAATTTAACCCCTTGATGCCTGAATTTATTTACGATAAAAAATAAATTAGGTATGAGGCAAATTAGCGACAACAGGCATGAACGAGAACCAGTGCTTGCAAAAGGTTCCCAGGTATTTATTGAATATGCGGCATTGGGGGAATAATAAATGCTAACTCAGCTGCAGTCTGAAAGGAAGAGGTTTGATCCAAATTTGCGACAATCGGCGTTAAGGGTTTAAGTAAAATTTAGAAACAGTGGTGACCTGTCAATCAGGCTAGAGTGACTCATATCCATGACACTGTGTACATTTGACCAGCGCCACTGAAAAAGCTTAGTAGGAGTCGGCTGTTCATTTTCTCTGGTCAATACATTTTATTTGAAGCCTGTTTTTCTCTAACAAAAAATTATGATCCCGGTGAATTACATATGAGCTTAGCTCCACTGTCTTGTCAACTATGGTCACATTCGGTGCCGCTGGTTGCAAAAAATCATCCACTTCTTTTGTAGAGACTATTGAACACACCGAAGTAGGAAGAACGTCTTCACAACTCGAGGACATGGGACCCTCCGAGGAGCATGTGAATGCAGCATCACTCTTTCTGTCCACTTACTAGAAATCAAGTGATTTGCTGTGTGTGTTTCTCTCTTGGCCTGAATTTAGACAGAGATGTTGGGCAAATCAGGCAATTGCCTAGGGCCACGAACTGAAAGGGGGTCCTGAGAAGGGCTGATAATGTAGGCCTAACTAATCCACAGCAATGACAACTGTATGAGCACCCCTTTAAAGGTGCGGTAGAATGGAAAACGTCGTTCCCTTGGCATAGTTGAATAAAAGACTTAAGTGCATGTAACAGACATAACGTCAGCCTCAAACTACATTGTTTCCTCCTTAATATTTTTAACGTCTTTGCAGTCTGTGTCACTAAACATGTGTCACGAAGAAAAACAATAAAGTCTTTTAAAACGAATAAATGGAAAAAGAAAATTGATTTTTAACACGGGATTTGAACTCAGACCAATGTGGGAAAATAAATCAAAGTCAGGAGACTAATCCAGCAGCCTAAGCTGTCATTGCTTTTCTGACCTCTGTCGGCGTAGCATAAAACAACTTATAGAGCAAACAGCCAGCCGTAGCTCTTTACAACAGGAGACAGCAGATCAACTTGTGACCAATGTCTGTGTTACTCAAGACCATGTCGGTATTTTACTGGTTCCCTTCAAAACCAAGCCGCATTTTAAACTCCCAACTGCTGAATAAGAAAAATAAAGTTAGCTTCACGCACGAACAGCAGATTAATGCTTTAATTTTCCTGTGTTGGCTACAATCAGAGTCAGTGTACAAAACGGAAACATCAGCAAGATGTTGCCATTTAGGTAAAATATTTTTAATGAAAACATTGGTTGTTGTGAACTGTGTTACATTTGTTCTCTCTAATTATCTCAATTAAAAAAAAAATTGTTAGGTTACCACATACAACCCTTTCTTCTTTCCTCTCAAGATGCTTTGCTTAAATTTCTAAGCCCAGTGAGCCCACCTCCAAAACATGTCTCCACAGATGAAGGTAGGAAGCATATGCTGTTTTATAGTGACCTCATGTAAAAAACAGCATACACAGCCTATTTATACTGTTTACTACTTTACTTTATACTCTATACTTAATAAATGAGGTTGTTTGTATGTTTGTCTATAGGCACTTTACTGTATATGTTTATTGCATGCATTCTAAATGTGTATTCCTTTTTTTAAAATATAATTTTGTTTGTTGGTGGGGATTTGCATTTTAAATGTTAATAATATAACGTAGGCCTATGTATGCACTATCTAAAACTAATCTTGTTAATAACAAAATAACATTTAGGAACTGGAATGATGTGTCTATGATGTGATTCCTGAAGGGTTAGGGGGAGGCGGGCAGTTGGGTTCGATGTCTCAAAATAAACTATTGTTTTATTTCAAAAATACTAAAAAATCTATTTTAATGTATTTCTAATCACTCTGAGGTTTAGACTGACAGAACAAGCACAATGAAGGTGTCACTTTGGTCTCTGGGTAACTGTGACAACATTTCTCAATATTTTCAGGATTTTTAAAATTGATTAATGGAGAAAATAATCAGCGGATTAATTCATAATGAAAATAATTAATTGCAGTCAGATACAAAACAATAGTAAAATCCTGCTTTACATTACTGCATGAGAAATAATAATCTAATGATATAGTATATTTTTCTTCTATCTATCAATTCTGTGTGACATGTGTTCCAATAAAGCTGTGTCGGCATATTGTATTTGTATATAGTTTAAATGCATTAGTTATTTCATCTCATTCATTTCAGTTGACCTGCAGGAATCCATTATAAATCAATTTGTGTTTATTCTGCCACCTTGTGGACAAAAGGATGTAATTCACATTTTTCAGTCCTTTCCAAAAGATGTCTCCTGTTATTTACATTTAAAATCAATATAACACCAATATAAATGATGTTTTATTGATTTGTTATTTAAATCAGTAGAACATCATCACTGGTTGTTTCCCTTCTTATTTCCATTGCAGCTGTAGTGACAGTCCAGACTGTCTTTAATGTTTTCATTCGTCAGTTCTGGTTGTGTGAACTATGTAAGTCAATATGTCTGAATAATAAATACTATGTAGACAGTAGCCTGAATCAGTAATCAATGTAGGAAAAACCAAACTATAAAAAGCGAAAGTGAGTTCATTAAACCATAAATAATATACCTAATGTATTAATATTTTTCTTCAGCCTTACAGTGTTCATGTTTATTTGGGATCATGAATAACATTTAGCCTACCACTGCTTTTAACAAGACAAAAGTTAAAATGGTTTGCCATATTACAAGAGTCACAGTACAAAATACTTCAACAAAAACACCCAAACTAAAACTCGGTCAGCAGTAGCCTATTGTGTTTCTGCTTTGCATGATGTGCATGACTGATATGAGGAAGCTAAATGTGAGTTTCTGCGTCATCGTCTTCAAAGTCCTGCATTTTCACCTGTCCAACTAAAACTCTCCCCAAGTTTTAAAACCAAAACGGGGTCAGCAGCGTTTTCAAACTTCTTTGTTTAATTCACCGTTTTAGTAGCAAAAGTGCTGCGTTTAAAACAAAAACGTAGAACAGGATGTAGCGCACACACAAAGTGTTGAATTCTTCAGTAAAATAATAAAAATGTTGAATCAACACTCCTGGCGACCTGTCCAGGGTGGACCCCGCCTTTCGCCCGATGTCAGCTGGGATCCAGACCCCCGCGACCCTGTACGCAGGATAAGCGGTTGACGATGGATGGATGGAAATAACACTCACCCTGTCTCAGTTTTCCTCCTGCTGCTCTGTCGACTCAAAATGGATCCTTTTTTTTCTTCCTTTTATTTGACTAGACGCATCTGACGCAGGTCTGTTGCTATAATGGAGTCTAAACTGACTGAACTCTTTCAGTTCCTTCCCTGTTTTCATGTAGCCTACCTGGATTACGTAGTCGGTTTGCTCCTCCCCTCTCCGTTTAGCATCCGATTCGTAGCCTTATTCGACTCCCTTATTATTTTACATATGCTCGTGCCCACAGACGGCCGCGGGAAACGATGATGCGATATTTGGCAGCTCCATCGAGGGTTGAAGGTGCTGCCACAGCTTGGACTGCAAATGCAGTCAGGGCTCTGAGAAAATCGCCTTCTTAATTTACATTTCTTCATTTAGCTTATCCAAAGCGACTTACAGTTGCTACAGGCCTACATGTCAGAGGTCACTCGCCCGGGTCTCTCACACCAAAGGCATAGTCTTATCCGCATATCGCCACCCCCATAGTATAAATACCTCTAATTAAGAGGTAAGGGAGTCACTTGTGAGCTTGTAGTCCTGAACTGCTTCCATAAATCAGGTCAGATTTATCACGGGACTCGTTATCAAACATTTCCTTTTAATCAGCTGAGTTCTGGTGAAGGAGAGAGAGTTTATTTATTTTTGTAGTTCATTTAGACAGAATCTTATTTTATACATTTTGATGACTCTTTGCTCGTCCCTGTGGAAAAGAACAGATTTCAGATGTTCATTTAGTTGAAAGCACTTTAGTTGTAACTTAAACAAAACCGATTATTTACACTGTATAAACTTCATGTCAAATGGAACAACGCTGAAGTTGTTCGCAGCTTCTGATTCGGCAGCTAAAGGGAAAGTTAAGGGAAACTTAAGGGAAAGTTAAGGGAAAGTTAAGGGAAATTTAAGTAGCTGAGCGACCGATTCCTCTTTACTGCTGAATATATTTTCATGATTATACTTGTGCTTCATAGCCTACTTTTACTTAAGTAACATTTTCAATGCAGTACTTTTACTTGGAACAGTATTTCTACAGTTAGGTATAAGTACTTTTACTTAAGTATTTATCTATCTATTCTGTGTGATATATGTTCCAATAAAGCTGTGTGGGACAAATATGTAAAACTCTTTCATAAAATATTGTTTTAAGTTTACATGAATCATATAGTTATTTCATCTGATTAATTTCAGTTCTCCTGCAGAACTCAATCATAAATCAATCCGTGTTTATTCTGCCACCTTGTGGACAAAAGGATTAATTTCATATTACACCAATATTAATTATGTTTTATTGATTTGTTTTTTTATGTCAGTAGAACATTATCACTGGTCATTTTACCAAAATAAACATATGTGGTTGGAAATTATGTTCAGAAGAAGCTGTTAATGGTGAATTATTGTGAGCAAACAGCAACAGGCTCAAAGAGTTTCACCATCTTTAGCTGCTTCACTCAGTAAAGTGGCATTGAACCTGATTAATACTATCTAATCCAGAACTGATTGGACCAGGTTTGGCCCCACTTACCCAGAGCCATTGAGAGTCCCAGTGTCAGGACATGTAGATGTGTTGTTCTCCACTGGTCATACTGGTAAACGTTACTGGTTCTTCCCTTTGTGTTGCTCAGCAGTTACCTTGTTTAGCTGCTACTCAAACATCAGAATTGATTATCAACAATATTAATATTAATAATGATGTCAGCGCTTCCTGAAGCTGCACTGCTCCACTCTCTGTTGTTATGTGCTGTATGTACTGATGCAGTACATTTACTCAAGTACTGCACTCAAGTACAGTGTTGACATACTTGTACTTTACGTGAGTATCTGCTACACTTCAGAGGGAAATGTAGTGCAGTAGAAGTATAAGTACATGTAAGTCTTCACTGCATCACATTTATTTGACACTTAGAGTTACTGTGACATAAAAACACATGATGTGCTTTTACAATATGATGCAGTACTTTACTACTAATCTACTTCATAGTACACAAAGTATCTGAAACTGGCTCCACGTTGACAAACGACAGAATTAAAACACTCTTACATGTATTTGTTAGTGACACAAACAGAGTAATATAATATTCTATAATAATATAACTGTGTGAAAGAAGGCGTTCTGCATAATGAGTACTTTTACTTCTGACCAGAAAGAAAAGTTTGAAACCACAATTAACCATCTGGTTTCTTCAACTTTCACTCAGGAGCAAAAATCAGCCTTTAAACTTGAAGAAATAATGATTTGACATTTATCCTGATAATTATCAATATCGACTGATATGACATTTTTGAGAGAACATTTTTGGCCGTATCGTCCAGCCCTACTTTAAATACATTTTGCTGAGAATACTTGGGTACTTTCACTTTGAATGCAGGACTTTTACTTGTTATGGAGTATTTTTAAAGCAGGGTATTTTTGATCATCATCATTTTTGTACTTTTCCTTCTGATCTGAGTACTTCTTCCACCTCTGCTGTTCCTCCAGCTCAGAGTCTGTCTGAATGCTGCAGTAATATTCAGCTTTCATGATCACAGATAAAGTCGTCAGATTGAAGTGAAACCTTTGAAACTGTCTGCAGAGTTCTGGCCGCTCCCTTTACCTCCATGATCCTGGGAGATCTGGGAGCTGAGCTGATCACAGTGGAGAGAGCAGGTGAGTCGGCGTCTGTGGCGTCACTGTGCTCCACTTTCTTCATAGTGCACCTCTGCCTGAGTGTGAGGAAAGGATTGTGGTGAACAGGTGATGACAGCAGAGCCTTGGCTCCTCCGTTTGTCGCCACAGAGAGCGTCGGTTTCCTCAGCGTCCACCCAAACAAGAAGGGAAGTGTGTGTGTCAGAAGGTGCAGTGGACACACACACACAGTCACAGCAGACTTGTTGCGTCACACAGGGTGAAACATCAGGACGTTTCATTTAGAGAAGCAGACTGCTGGATTTTAGATGTTGGAGCTCAATAAATCCAGTTTCCCTCCTTCCTTCCAAGCAGCTGCTGCTTTCACTTTCTTTCTCTCAGAGTTTGACCTGCAGAGAGATTTCAGTCTGTGTCAGACTCTACGATATGAACGCATCTGGGATGGAAAGAGAAAAACATCATCTGCAAGCAGAGACGTCAGCTCATGTTCTCAATCTGCAACGCTGCCAAACAAGAAACTGCTTCATCCACAAAAGTCCACGTTTGTTCTTGTTTGTCTTCCTGCGTGTTAATAACGAGCCTCTGGTGATGGAGCGTCTGATTTCAGAGGATTTCTGTGGACCTGAAACATCCCAGAGGAGCCAACATCATCCAGGAGGTAGGACTCACTCCCAGCAGCAACCTGTCCGATGGTTTCATGTAGCGCTGGGTGGCGTTTGACATTTTCACTGCTAATGCAGGTCCAACACCTGAGCGGCAGCACTGATACCAAATGATCCTTTTTCAGACTTTACTTTGAGAAATGTTTTTCTAGAAAAGCCTTTTTTTGATTGAACAAAAGAAGTCAACTTTGTGGAAACAGAAGCAGACGTACAAAAAGGGAAATCAGATCCAGTGTGAAACTGGTCTGAAACTGGACACATACGTTTAAATCAGGAAGGATCTGATCTCAGGATCAATTGGCAGGATTCTGGATCTGAGCAAACATTTGATGTGAACTTTCAGGACTGTTTCTCAGAGTTATGGACACGTTTTAGTCTGAGTTACCATCACGGAGCTACATGGAACAGATGTCACGTGACTTTTTTAAGGAAAGGATCTCTGATTTCAGTGTTTCTCCGTTCACATGCAGCATGACTGAAGAAATTCCAAAGTACACTTCATGCTTTCTGGGTACTCAGCCTGGAGGACATACTGCAAGTACATGAGTGTATCTGGGCAGCACTCAGTCTGCAAATCAACCCGTTCCTCTGAAAACAAAAGTCTAGTCACAGTGAAAGACGGCTTTTCTTTTGCTTAGTTCTCAAAAAAAGTTGCTGTTTAAAGATTTCTGACACTTGAGTCCAGAAGACAAACCATGGTGAACATGATGCTGTCAGGACTGGATGAAGGGGAACCAGACCATACAAAGGAAAAGGGAGTTTAGAAAATAAGAAACATGAGAAAGAAAGATTATTTTAAGGAAGCCCAGATTTCCATGAGACTGATTCATGCCGAGTGTTCTGGTGTCTAAACAAGATGAATCTTCAACATTTCTTTAAATCTGGAGTTTTCTCTAAACCCAGCTCAGTGTCAGCTGCTGCTCCATCATTTCCTCTCATCTTGGATTGAACTCAAAATGGAAGTCGAGCTGCTTTTAGTTTTCAGAAATGGATTTTCGATGCGAGTTAAGCAAAGTGAGACTTAATCTGGTTGAGTTTTATTAAAAGTCAGAGAATAAAAAACAGTGAGGAACTTTACACTTTAAATTCAGATGTAACTGCATGTAGAGATCACAACTCTATTTAAGGCTCATTTATTCATCATTTCAACGTTATTGTTCCAAAGAGAAAAAAGTCTGGAGGAACACTGAACACAAAACACATCAAATATAAAAAAATATGTAAAACACTAAAACCCACCAAACAAAGCTCACACAAAACAATATTCATTAAGTGACTACTTAAATAATATGTATTTACACAATTTCTAACATTTTGAAGGCTTTTCCTTTAAAAACAGAACATCATCATCAGAAAGCAACACGTAACAGTTTTTTATTTACAAAAGAACAGCCATAAAAAGGAAATTTGAGCATTGTGTCAGGGATTGCTGGATGGGTTTGACACCAATGTGTCCCTGAGCAAAACACTTGGTGTGCGACCTCTGACATATTTAACATATTTACCTAAAGATTTGGGTCTAAATGACCCAAAAGATAATTGGAGAGTTAACCAAATTATAATTACACTTCATTTTAGCAAAATGAACAGTCAGAAGGAAAGCGTTCACATCAGCAGTTCAGTTTCTCTGCAGACAAGTTTTCATCATCTCAAGTAATTTTATCTATATACAATCATAAATCACTATTTGTCTCAAGGAGCTTTACAATCTGTACAGCATACGACACACTCTGTCCTTATATCCTCAAACCCCCAAACAGGAAGAGACACAGAGGAGGGATTTCTCTCCCAGGACAGGACAGACAGGAAGTAGATGTCTGCAGAGACTGTGTAGAAGGACAGAGCAGCAGCAGAGCAGTCCAGATCCACTGATGATACTCTGTCACATCCAGAGGAACACACAGGGATGATGGTGGACTTGACTTTGTATCTGACAGTGGAGCTGATCTCAGAGCAGTTCAGACTGCAGCACTGTTGGGATTCCTCTGTCAGTCACTGCTGGATGAAGCTCTCCTCTCCACTCTACCTCCCAGTAACATGGCCCAGTCAGAGCCTCTCCACACACAAGCTGATGCTGCTGCTTCAACCTCTCTGGATCATCAGGACACAGCTGATCCTCTCTCAACACCACCTTTCTGATCACTCACTCTCACTTCTTCCATCTGATGAGAGAAGACAGACAGCAGAAGTCATAAATCAGAGTTTACAGAGACTCCCTTCATCAGCTGTCAGTCAGTGATGCAGCACATCCAGTATAAAGACCAGCAGGGACTTCAGTCCTGTTCAGACCAGAAGTGGAGCGGCTGTGTAGCGTAGCCAGCTTCCTTTCAGCTCTCATGTTAACGTATTGGAGTGAACACACTGAGACCTGCAGAGACTTTGGCCATCAGGTCTGTTTACTCTGCAGGTTTCAATCAAGTCCACAGTGGAAATAAAGTGCTGAGAGTCCCTGAACGCATCATGACTGCAGAGACAGAGAGATATTCACTGCTCACTGTAATGATGGATTTACTGCTGTTAAGGCTCAAAGCTGTTAAAACCAGCCGCTCAGTCACATTTGAAGATTTCATCTACTTCTGAAATATTACAGGACAAATCTGTAAATATGGAATCTGTCCTAAAAACATTTGGACCAAACTAAAGACACATGGACAGATATATATATGATGTTAAAGGCCCTACATGTTCATACAAAGACTGAACAGCTAAACATCAGCTGTGGTTACTGGACTTCAGCAGAGGTTCTGGTCTGTAGAAAGACCTCATGGTTACTAAATGTAATGATGGTTCTCTGAAATAAGAGCCAGTGATTTGCAGGCTTCAGTCAGACTGATCTCAGAGCTGTGACAAAGATGAACTGATCAGTAGTTTAGTGTTGAAATGAGAGAACAAACAGAGATCAGATTTGATGGTACGACAGTTTGATGAATGAGGACCACTGTCTCTATACATCTTGTGATGCTGTCAGCTGGAATCCAGCTTTATTTCCTGGAGACATGAACACAACAACAACAGTCGTCTTCACATCAACTCAAACACATGATCACAACAAGCTTCTGGCTGATCTGATTGGCTGTCTGTTCTCTCTCTCTCTGTGTCCAATTCTAAAGCCTCTACTGACCTCAGAGTCTCCAGTCTGCAGGTTGTTTCTACTCAGGTCCAGCTCTCTCAGATGGGAGGGGTTGGACTTCAGAGCTGAGGCCAGAGAAGCACAGTTGATCTCTGACAACCTGCAGCAACTCAATCTGAATAAAGAATAAATGATGGAGATAATAATCAATTTCTAATCCAATCAGATGTGTTCAGGTTTTAAATGTGGAGCTCAACATTACTATGTCCTAATCAATGAGCTTTTCCCTGAAATGAGTAGAGGGACTTACAACTAACAGTGAATTTTTTCTACAGTTTCTTTAAGAAACATGAAAAAGATAAAGTCTTTGTGACTGCAGACTAAATTTAGTACAACAAACATGAAAATATGAATAAATGGACATTTACAACTTTATGGATGGAAGTTTTGTATGAACAGAAATTAGGTTAAATTGTTAATTAAACATATATCTACAATAGTAACAGAGAGTCAGTGAACTGACCTCAGAGTCTCCAGTCTGCAGTGTGGACTCTCCAGAAAAGCACGCAGCAGCTTCACTCCTGAATCCTGCAGCTTGTTTTTACTCAGCTCAAGCTCTCTCAGATGGGAGGGGTTGGACTTCAGAGCTGAGGCCAGAGAAGCACAGCTGATCTCTGACAAACTGCAGCTCCTTAGTCTGAATAAAGAATAAATGATGTAACTTTAGAAGACAATGTTCCTGCTTGAAATCATTCAGTGTTTAATAATCTGTTCAGAGCTGAAGAAGGTTTAGAATGTAGAAGTTTAGAAAATGGAAACTCCAAACACCTGAACCCAACAGGATGCAGGTTCAAACTGTAAAATACAAAAAGGTAAAAATAGCTCTCATTAATATTAATGACAACGTGCTGCTACTTCAATAAATACGTAGTAACTTCACCTGTTAAACTCTGCAGCTCCACCAGTGGCTCCATCTATACAAACTCATATTGTGCAGCCAAACACAAATAAAAACCCACAGAAGCTGATTTAAGATTCCACTTAAGATCCCAAAGATGCCAAATGTGTCAGGATGAATTTTGGGAAAATGTGAACAAAAGACATCTACAATATTTCTTTTAGGAATAGTGGAGTCATCAAATCAAAGCTTCTTCAGTTTAAACTATTCAGTCAGTACAAGCATCATATAGCTTCATAACAATGTTAAAAAAACAAATACTGATTATATTTATTATTGTCTGATAGTTGAAATAGAGATCATTTATTTATTCTTTGTATTTATGTATTTATTATTATCATTTTTTTAAAACATGGAGAATAGAAGCTGAAAATCAGGAGTTTAAGAGCTTCAGAGTGAATTATCCAGTGGAGGTGTTTCTTGTTATATTAAGGTTATAAATGAGGAGCTCAACATTGCTCTGCCACAGTCAATGGACTAAACTACTGAAGAACAGACTTTAGTATTAAGATACTCAGTGTGGATCAGTATAATATCAGCCTTATGTCTGCAGTTTAGTGTCACCACAACTTTCACATCATATTAATCTCAGCACAGAAGGAAAAAACTGACCTTAGAGTCTCCAGTCTACAGTGTGGACTCTCCAGAAAACCACACAGCAGCTTCACTCCTGAATCCTGCAGGTTGTTGAAGTCCAGGTCCAGCTCTCTCAGATGGGACGGGCTGGACTTCAGAACTGAGGCCAGAGAAGCACAGCTGATCTCTGACAAACTGCAGCGCCACAATCTGAATAAAGAATAAATGATGAAGATAAAAATCCATTTCTAAGCCAATCAGAAATGACAAAACATAATGTTATTGGGTATCGCCATAGGTGTCGCTTGACACTTTTACTGGGGCATGTGCCCCAGTATTCATGCTCTGTGCCCCAGTAACAAGCTCAAGACTCCTTGGCTTCGTTTTTGGCCGTGTAGGGCTCCACAATCAAGTTAGCAACAAAATATCTGTAACATCCAGTCAAGTTAGCAATAATAAAAATGCAACATGAAAGTGAGTGTCTGTAACAAGGATGAGAGGATGACGAGGAGGGACTATCCTTCTGGGTACAAGAATTTTCGGGAACAGCAGTCAGGTAAACCTGTGTTCTCTCCTCCCAAAGTCTGAAGTCAGCAGATAACAGTAAGTTGTGTTAGCTGCAGTGAATCTGTCTGTGCATCGTGCTCTGTTTGTATTTTGGTTGCTTGCCAGAGGTTGTGTCTCAGCAATGTTACTGTGAATTACAACTTTTTATTAGGTGTGATTACTGCCCACTGGCTACGCAGCCACGATGTTTACAAACAGCACCTTGAAAAATATAAAGATGTCGCGCGTCAACTTGCGTTCACACGCGCGTGCATGAAATTAAACTCGGGCATTCCAGCAGCAACATAAGACATCTAAGACACAGGCGTGATGGCACTCCTCAAAGCAACTCATCATTTTAAAACAAGACAGTGGGTCTAATAAACTGTCTCTCCGTCAAGTTTTGATTAAACTGTGTTCTAATGCAAGATGGAAAGTTGTGGATTCACATTGACTATTGATTATTAAAATGTTGATTAGCAGGGCAGACTGGGCAATGTAGATGCACATCTCTCAGTAAATAATAAACATCACATATTTAGTCAAGTCTTATAGTATTTTCCATTTTAAAATGTATTAAAAGAGTGGCCCTGATGGAGCTGATAACATTAATATCTAGAGCAAGTATTATCTATAAATTACAGGTGCTATGCTGACATTTGTCAATAGATGCTGGATCATCAGCCAGTAAAGCACAGACCCAGTACAGACCTCTGTAACAAAAAGTTGCTGATTACTACATTAGCCTATATTACATTATATTTTGTATTGTCACCTTACACCTGAATGTTGTGTTTCTCTTTATATATATAAAAGACATTTCAACCATAAAATGTCTCCAGAATGCAGGAAATTAAGTGTTTGATGCTCAGAATCTTCTGGGGGAGGACCCCAGAACCCCCAAATCACATATTACAATAGTAATATTTTTGTTCTAATATCTTCTTCTTCACATCTCAGGAGCAAGTGTATCACTACACTCCTAATCTGAGCCCTTAAATTTCCAGTTCAGCAAAAAGTAAGGCCCTTGATATATAGCCAACATCAGGTACAAGCAGCTCAGGCTGTAATGGAGCAGTAGACTGGCCCCAGTCTTAAGAGACTTTATGAGGACTGAGTTAGTGTGCAAAGGTTCATTCAAACTAGCACTGGATTTTTCTAGAATAGGTTTCCATTCAGACTTATTACTGAGACATATTGTTTTAAAAGAGGGTTTACATGGGTCATGAGTCAGGTAGGAGGGCCCCATAGCAGAATTTTTTAGGTCCCAGGGAGGTCAGGACCGGCTCTGGTGGTGACGTAGGTGCACTTTTTCGTTACATTCTTTATATCCTTTTTATTTACCTTAAGTTTTCAACTTAAGTTTTACGTGGGTTAAGGATTTTAGTCATCCGATAAGGATTTTAAGCTAGATGACCGTAAAATAGCTATCAGCGCTACTGACCAAAACAAAGCTCCGGTGACTATGCTAGCCGAGATAACTCTGCCCCATGAGGACTGCACACTCCTTAAGAAAGCGAAGATTGCTGACCTTATGGAAGACATCTGATGACTTTCAGAGGAACTCAAAGAGAAAGATTCCCTGCTGACTGGCTTTATGGATGTGGCTTCAGTACAAGCCAAACAGATTGTTTCTCTTAGCGCAACCGCCAACATCCAGGACACCGTGCTATGGGACCCCTCTACCCTTCCACGACTTTCCTCTTGCCCGACTCCGAAGCATCAGTCAACCTGGGCTGAAGTGGTGGTCTGTGGCTGCAAGAGAGGCTCGGACGGGGCTGCCTCTCCTCCGCACATCGGCCTCTCCAACCGCTTTACAGCCCTGTCTGACGACACTACGGTCCATCCAGCGGATGCACCTGCGGCTTCGAGTCTCCCTGATACGGATCTCTTTCAACGGATAGTGCCTGCCGACACTGTTGCATCTCCTCCACCAGCTACATCTCCTGCACTGGCGGCAAACGGTGATTGCCTGGGCCGCCGGTCTGCCGCTGGGACTGATCGGCCTTCTCTCAGGTCTGTTACTGCTCCTCCAACACAACACTTGGCAGCTCACACACTCCATCCTCAGTCCGCACGCAGTGGTGGAGCAAATTCTGCTCAGTCCTGCTCTGGAACCCCACAACCGGCATCTCCTCGTCCCCGTTTCTCCCCAACCACACTAATAATTAGTTTCTTTAACGCTACCACTCACTGCTTCCCCGGTGCCACCACAGTTGACATTTTAAAAAAACTCCAGGACCTGATGCCGTCGCTCCCGTCCTCCAACACAAGAGTGATAGTCCATGTGGGAACAAATGACACAGCTCTTCAGCAGTCTGAGCTGACAAAATCAGATTTTAACCATCTTTTTAACTTTTTAAAGCAGTGTGGAAAGTCCGTTTTTATCTCTGGTCCCATTCCCACAGTCGGTCGCGGTGCTGGCCGCTTCAGTAGACTCCTCGGCCTCCACGACTGGCTCCAGTCCGCCTACAGGGCTCACCGTGTGTTTTATGTGGATAACTTTAATATTTTCTGGCAAAGAATGTCTCTTTTTAATACAGACAGACTTCACCCAAACAAATGGGGATCAGAAATGTTAGCTGTGCACATACAGCATGTGGTGCGGTCCACACATGACTTACGTGAATGACTAATCATTCATGCAGCACACCTGGACGCACCACCTGAACAGATCTCTGCCTCACTGCCACAAACAACTGTCTCCACCTGCTGGCATGTAAAGCCGTCTGCTCCCAGCGCTGTTCCACAGACTTGTATTCCTGTCATCATCACGCATAGACCAGTAAACCGAAATGTGCACATCCCACACAGAAATATTAGTAATCTCTTAAGGATTAGGACAACTGCACCAACTCCAGCACCCAGAACAAACTCATTTAAAATGGCTCTCTTCAATGTGAGATCACTTTCAAGTAAGACTTTTATCTTAAATGATTTTATCTTGTCTGCAAATCTAGATTTTATGTTTTTAACTGAATCATGGTTGCAAATGAATGACTATAGCCAGCTATCTGAACTGTGTCCGCCTCAATATGATTGTTTTAGTCAACCGAGGGTCAGTGGTCGTGGTCGTGGGCTAGTGAGCGTGTATAGGAAACATTTTAAATGTCATCAAGTACACTGTGATGAATTTAACTCCTTTGAAGTTCTCACTCTTAAAGTTAGAGGGCTGCAACCTATCATACTTGTTAATTTATCGCCCCCCAAAACCGCCTGGAGGATTTTTACCAGAACTTCCTGAATTTTTATCTACTCTGGTTTTAAATTATGACAGAATTGTTCTTTGTGGTGATTTTAACATTCATGTTGATGACCCCAACAATGTTAATGCAACTGACTTTTTAAATATGCCCACTTCTTTTAACTTCAAACAACATGTCAAAGGGCAAACACATAACCGTGGTCATACACTGGACTTGGTTTTTACCCTGGGTGTCAGCATTTCCTCTGTGGAATTAGTGGACATGACCATATCTGACCACAGATGTATTGTTTTTAGCTGCGATTCGCCTGTTACTCATGCCGCCTCACCAAGCTCCGTGTGTTCTCGCATCTTTAATGAACAAAGTGTTTCAAAGTTTTGCGCATTCTTTCAGAGCCAAAGCCAACACCTGTCTGATTCCAACACCAACAATCTGGTTGATCACTTCAATCATATCTGCTTGTCGTCACTAAATATTACTGCTCCTCTAAAGGTTGGGCCTACGTCTAAAGCTAGTAAGCAACCCTGGATAAATGACAGCATTCGCAGCCTAAAAAGGGAATGCAGGAAAGCAGAGCGCAGATGGAAAAAATCCAGTCTCCAAGTCCATTACCTCAGTCTGAAGGATTTATTAATTAACTACAATAACACGGTTAAGGATGCGAGAACACACTATTTTTCTGAACTCATTACTACACATAAACACAATCCCAGGTTTCTGTTTAAGACTGTGGATCAGCTGGTAAACCCAACCCCTCCTCGTGCCTCAGCTGGAAGTAATGATGACTGTGAATTGTTTTTATCTTACTTTACCAATAAGGTGGTGTCAATCAGAGCCTCTATTACCCTCGTGGCCTCTTACTCAGAGGTTCCTCACCAGCAACAAGAGCGTTTTAACCAGTTTTATCCCATCGACTTGTCTGAGCTTTTAAAAACAGTATCACAAATGAGAGTGTCCTCCAGCCCACTTGATGTTTTTACTGAAAGTAATTTGCACCCCATTTGATCTCTGTTTTCAACAGCTCCCTATCTACTGGTTGTGTCCCTGATTATTTTAAAACGGCTTGCGTGAACCCACTTTTCAAAACTGCCTTTTATTGCAAAGATTCTAGAAAGAATTGTGTCCAAACAGCTGCTCACTGTACTGGAAAATAACAAAATATTTGAAAAGTTTCAGGAAGTACCACAGCACTGAGACTGCCCTGCTTAAAGTCACCAATGACCTTTTAATGCCCACATTACCCCTGTTTTAGCTTCATTACACTGGCTCCCGGTATGTTTTAGAATTGACTTTAAAATTCTATTGATCACTTTTAAAGCTCTTCATGGCCTCTCGCCTTGTTATATTTCTGACCTTTTAGTCCCATACGCACCAGCACGTACCTTGAGATCCTCGGGCAGAGGTCTGTTGTCTGTTCCAGAGTCTCGACTAAAAACTAAAGGGGGCCGAGCGTTTGCTGTCAGGGCCCCGAGGCTCTGGAACAGCCTGCCCGAGGAAATCAGGTCGGCTGAGTCAGTGAACTCTTTTAAGTCCCTTCTTAAAACATACTTTTATGGGAGAGCCTTTCCCGATCTTATTTGACTTTATTTCATTCCTTTTATTTTATTCTATTTTACTTATTTTATATTTATCTTGTATTTTAGTCTTTTCAATGTTTTCTTGCTTTTATCTTGTATTGCTTCTGTATTATTGTTTTTGGGTATTATTGTCTTTACACTTGTTAAAGCACTTTGTAACTTGTTTTTGAAAAGTGCTCTACAAATAAAGATTATTATTATTATTATTATTATTATTATTATTATTATTATTATATGTGTGTTTAAGATCCTGTTGAAGCCCTTTCTGACATGGCAGTGCCAATAATAAGAGGATAAGCAAGGGAAGCTTGTAATGCTCATACTAACACATTTCATAATTAAAAAAAATGTATGGGGCCTGTGCCCCCCGTAGAGCTTTATTTCTAGCAACACCTCTGGGTATTGCTACTTGATACCTTTATGGTTTTGATTGAAACAGCCCAGTATCGAATAGAATCGAAACGTCTCCAGTCAAACCAGTACTTCAATCCATACTTTTTGTAACCAGATGGCAGCAAAAAATTACTATTTATACGGTTTTGGTTGCAGCCAAACATGCAAGCAACACACCAAAAGAAAAAGAAAAGCACGGCTTTTTTTCCTTATGTGCCTGCACCATAAACAGTAAAAAATCCTCAATTAAACGCTTTTGAGGTGCAGCAGCGATCAGCTGATTTTATTCACGGAGCCTCAGGCTGCAGCTGCTTTAGGTGTAGTTGCTGTGATTTGTCTGGATGTGCAGCCTCACTTTTCCTCTTTTGTGAGTCTTTAGTTAAGTGACTTGTTTAAACAGAGTCCTTTCTTTTTTTATACTTGTTACGGTCATCTTTTTGGAAGTTTGCGACTCACCAATACAGGAAAAAGCACTCGCGGAGATCTTTCACTCCAGTTTATTGATCAAAGTTTACAAAATAACTTTCTGTTGTTTACTTTCAACACACGTACCAAAAATGACCTTAAATTCATTTCCCACATCTTATTTGGTCGCTAAACTATTTCACTCCACCTCTGTCATTCAAATATAAAAAAATTCCCAAGCTGTAGTCTTTTCCTGTATAATACTATGGGTGAGGATGAACTACTTAGGATGGGGAGCGATCTGAGACAATTTCCCAATACTTTTATGTAGCAGTTATTTGAAACAAGAAAAAAAATTAAATAGATAACCTTGCTTGTCCATAACAACAATAAAAATAATAAGCTACCAATCAACTACTATGGCTTCAACAGGTGGCATTTTATGGAAGGTATCGAATGAAGTACTCTATTGGTATCACTTTAAGGGTACTGGTTTTGGTACTGGTATCATAAAAATTTTAATGATACCCAACCCCACAGTGCAGTGACATTATGTTTTACTGTCTCTAGGTTAATGATCATTTTGCACTAATCAGGCCAATTGTCCTAGCCTCCTGATTCCATCTCTGGGGAAGCTAAAAGTTTACTGATCACCTGACAGTGGTAAATGGAGGAAATATACAGTGATTGGTATGCTAATTCCAGTTGTAGTGTAAATGACCAATAACTGTGAGAACCATAAAATCTCTCAAAGTGAACTAAATGATTTCATGTTAGCTTGTTACATATCGTGGGCAAACGTTACACAGCTAAATTACCACAGGTGACATAAAGTTACCAAACTGCACAGCAGACTTACCTGAAGAGGACAAGGAAGAACTAGATTCCGAATAACGAGCTGGTCGAGTTGAAACCATAAACCCGGCTGCAGTCCTTTTCCTTGTTGTCTACTACAGATGAGCATGACGCTAGTAGTGTAGTGATTATCCTGTCAACTCATGGGAGGCAATGTCGCTACCACCCCCTGGCTGGTGTAGCTAGTAAACTGCTCTTAAACTTACACATCTTTTTACAGATTTCAGCGCTACAGATTGGAAAAAACTCCACAAATATGTAAAAGGAAGTCACAAATGTAACGTGACCTACAAATTCACATGAAGTGACACACAAATGTGCATAATGCATTGCACATGTACAAATCACCCTGTATTTTTGTGGATATCATTTTATACATCACAAATGTAAAAATACACATTTATGGATAGTGAAATATTTGTGCATCATTGTACAGATTTGTGGATTATCTTCTGTGGGTTACAAATATTAAAGTCCAATTAAAACTTCCATACTCGTAGCTTATCCACTGCTCTGTGTACAGAGAGAGCAGGTCATAGTTAGTATGTTTTGTTTTAAAAGTAAATTGTTTTAAATTGAAATATTACTTTTTTTCTTTCCAATCATCTTAACTGTAATTACATTACATTTTTTTTAGTTTTTAGATCCAGGATGTAGGTTATTAAATAAGCGAACATGTTAACAAAATAACAGAATTTCAGTCTTTGGTTTTGTTTTGCAACTTTTGCAGGGAAGGACACTAAACAATGTCTAGGGGCCAGTAGGTTTCAGACCCACTGGCCCGGTGGGTTTAACCTTGAGCCCTGGCTTAAAAGAAATATTAGTTCAGAGGATTTTCTGTATACAGATGTGACCATTTACCAAAACTTACAAACATTCATTTACTTTAATGACTAACAGCAGACATTTTCTACAGTTTCTTTAAGAAACAAGTCTTTGTGACTGCAGACTAAATTTAGTACAACAAACATGAAATTATGAACAAAAGGACATTTCAAACTTTATGAATGGAAGTTATAAACAGAAATTAGGTTCATTTATTAATTAAACATATCAGATCTACAATAGTAACAGAGAGTCAGTGAACTGACCTCAGAGTCTCCAGTCTGCAGTGTGGACTCTCCAGAAAACCACACAGCAGCTTCACTCCTGAATCCTGCAGCTTGTTGTCACTCAGGTCCAGCTCTCTCAGATGGGAGGGGTTGGACTTCAGAGCTGAGGCCAGAGAAGCACAGCTGATCTCTAACAAACTGCAGCCCCACAATCTGAATGAAGAATAAATGACAGAGATATAAATCCATTTCTAATCCAATCAGATGTGTTCAGGTTTTAAATGTGGAGCTCAACATTACTATGTCCTAATCAATGAGCTTTTCCGTATAATGAGTAGAGGGACTTTGTCATTGTGCTTTAACCTCTTACCATTCCTGTAAAATTTATTTAAAACGCCTATTCAAGGCATATCCAAAGTAAATTGAATGCAGTTCTTGAACCATTTGGAGTAAATGCATTTGGAAATATGATTTGATCTGTGTGTGTTCTGAAGGATCAATATCAATGATCAGACATTATTTGTGAAAACACATTGAAATAAACAGAAACTAAAGAAATATTTCTACTTCAGCAGAAAACTTCATCAGTTTAAAACAAACATTAGTTCAGAAGATCTTCTGTATACAGATGTGATCATTTACCAAAAATTATAAACATTCATTTACTTTAACGACTAACAGCAGACATTTTCTACAGTTTCTTTAAGAAACAAGTCTTTGTGACTGCAGACTAAATTTAGTACAAGAAACATGAAAATATGAAGAAAAGGACATTTACAACTTTATGGATGGAAGTTTTGTATGAACAGAAATGAGGTTCAATTGTTAATTAAACATCTCAGATCTACAATAGTAACAGAGAGTCAGTGAACTGACCTCAGAGTCTCCAGTCTGCAGTGTGGACTCTCCAGAAAACCACACAGCAGCTTCACTCCTGAATCCTGCAGCTCATTTTCACTCAGCTGCAGCTCTCTCAGATGGGAGGGGTTGGACTTCAGAGCTGAGGCCAGAGAAGCACAGCTGATCTCTGACAAACTGCAGAGACTCAACCTGAATAAAGAATAAATGATTGAGATAATAATCCATTTCTTATACAATCAGATGTGTACAGGTTTTAAATGTGGAGCTCAACATTACTATGTCCTAATCAATGAGCTTTTCCGTAAAATGAGTAGAGGGACTTTGTCAATGTGGTTTAACCTCTTACCATTCCTGTAAAATTCATTCAAAATGCCTATTCAAGGCATATCCACAGTAAATTGAATGCAGTTCTTGAACCATTTGGAGTAAATGCATTTGGAAATATGATTTGATCTGAGTGTGTTCTGAAGGATCAATATCAATGATCAGACATTATTTGTGAAAACACATTGAAATAAAAAGAAACCAAAGAAATATTTCTACTTCAGTAGAAAACTTCATCAGTTTAAAACAAATATTAGTTCAGAGGATCTTCTGTATACAGATGTGACCATTTACCAAAAATTTGAAACATTCATTTACTTTAATGACTAACAACAGACATTTTATACAGTTTCTTTAAGAAACAAGTCTTTGTGACTGCAGACTAGGTTTAGTACAAGAAACATGAAAATATGAACAAAAGGACATTTACAACTGTATGGAGGGACGTTTTGTATGAACAGAAATTAAGTTCAATTGTTAATTAAACATATCAGATCTACAATAGTAACAGAGAGTCACTGAACTGACCTCAGAGTCTCCAGTCTGCAGTGTGGGCTCTCCAGAAAAACACACAGCAGCTTCACTCCTGAATCCTGCAGCTTGTTGTTAGTCAGGTCCAGCTTTCTCAGATGGGAGGGGTTGGACTTCAGAGCTGAGGCCAGAGAAGCACAGCTGATCTCTGACAAACTGCAGTCGCTCAATCTGAATAAAGAATAAATGAAAGAGGTAAAGATTCATTTCTAATCCAATCAGATGTGTTAAGGTTTTAAATGTGGAGCTCAACATTACTATGTCCTAATCAATGAGCTTTTCCCAAAAATGAATAAAAGAACTTTGTCATTGTGCTTTAACCTCTTACCATTCCTGTAAAATTCCTGCAAAACACCTATTCAAGGCATAGCCAAAGGAAATTGAATGCCGTTTTTGAACCACTTGGAGTAAATGCATTTGGAAATATGATTTGATCTGTGTGTGCGCACGCTGAAGGATCGATATCAACAGTCAGACATTATTTGTGAAAACACATTGAAATAAACAGAAACTAAAGAAATATTTCTACTTCAGCAGAAAACTTCATCAGTTTAAAACAAATACAGTATAAGTTCAGAGGATCTTCTGTATACAGATGTGACCATTTACCAAAAATTAGAAACATTAATTTACTTTAATGACTAACAGCAGACATTTTATACAGTTTCTTTAAGAAACAAGTCTTTGTGACTGCAGACTAAATTTAGTACAAGAAACATGAAAATATGAACAAAAGGACATTTACAATTTTATGGATGGAAGTTTTGTATGAACAGAAATTAGGTTCAATTGTTAATTTAGCATATCAGATCTACAATAGTAACAGAGAGTCAGTGAACTGACCTCAGAGTCTCCAGTCTGCAGTGTGGACTCTCCAGAAAACCACACAGCAGCTTCACTCCTGAATCCTGCAGCTTGTTGTTACTCAGGTCCAGCTCTCTCAGATGGGAGGGGTTGAACTTCAGAGCTGAGGCCAGAGAAGCACAGCTGATCTCTGACAAACAGCAGGAACTCAATCTGAATAAAGAATAAATTATGGATAAAAATGCATTTCTAATCCAGTCAGATGTGTTCATGTTTTAAATGTGGAGCTCAACATTACTATGTCCTAATCAATGAGCTTTTCCCTCAAATGAGTAGAGGGACTTTGTCATTGTGTTATTGTGGATCATCATAATGTCAGCCTTCTACAGACATCATCCAAATGTCAGCACAACATTCATACACCTATTCATGTCAACACAGATCAATAACATGCTGCTGATCTCAGGCCAGTCTGGAATAATCATCAAATCAGAGATGTTGGTACTTTTATTTTCATTTTCTTCAATTCATAACAATCAGGTGTAATTTTTTATAAAATACTTAGATGTTTTCTAAAATGGCCAATATGAAATAAATAATACTCTAGTAAACAAATAAGACTTTAAGTGAATAGAAAACCTTACAGAGCTCTTTAACACCTGTCCCAGCATTTCTGATGCTCATTTCAAAGCACAGAGCTGACTGACTGTGAGCTTCATCCTCAATCATCTTTAGAACTGGATCAAATGTGCACTAAGCAAAGTGAGAGCCTTGTTCTCTTCATCTTAAATGTAACCCAAGTACCTTCCTGTACAAATATAGTGCATTATTTATGCTCCTGTTTACTGGTTGAGTCAGAAAACAAAGAGACATAATTTCCTGACAGGAAGCATCATCACATGTTAAAGTGTCACCGATCACAGATCAGACACGATACTTCAAACAGCTGCATTTGGAAATATGCTTCACCCTCTATGTCTCTGTGCTGCTGTATGGCAGTTTCAGTGTGTGTGTGTGTGTGTAGCTTTATGTGTAAATGTATATGTTCCTGTAAAACACTGTTCTGAAGGTCATGTACAAAAAGACATTCCTGAAAATGAACTCCTTTTAATGTTTTATAAATAGATGTGTCACACATGGAGCAGAATGATAAATATTGATTTAATTTCGCAGCACATTGAAGGAAAATCCATATACTGTATATAAAAATGGATGCAGCGTCCGTGACGTCACCCGTTGGTTTATGAAGAGCCATTTTGAAGCACGAAATTGGAGGAGCTGGCCGGCGCCATCTTGGCAGCGTGTCACCGCGCGTCACTCCCGGAGCGGGTTGTAGGTGGAGCTGAGGTGACATGTTGCTGAAACCACTCCCGCCTAGCTCGATGTGACCGAGTTAGCTCATGCTAAGGAGCTAATGACAGAATAAGCAGTGCCACTGACTCAAGGAAATTATTTTCCACTTTTAAAGCGCTAAATCCTCCTCCACCTCCACCACCCACAAACTTGCTGATAGCTTTGCTGCCTTCTTTACAGGCAAAGTGGAGGCTATAACTAGCCAATTCTCTGAAACACTCAAACTCAACCATTGTAGCAGTCCTACTACATCTTTTCCTCTGCCCTCCCAGGTCAGTGGTTCTTCACTCTCCTCGTTTACTCCTCTCACAGAGAGCGAAGTATCAGAACTCTTGACCCGTAGCCGTCCAACTACATGCCCACTGGACCCGATTCCTACGAATCTCCTCCAAGCCATATCTCCTACTGTGGTCCCGACAATCACTCATGTGATAAATGCTTCTCTGGCTTCAGGAACCTTCCCGACCACTTTCAAAAGGGCCCTTGCAGGTGTTTTGAGTTAATTAGCTGATTAGAGAGCTCTTCTCCAGTTGACATTTCTGTATAATTTATAATACAGAAATGTATTTAGGCAATTCTAAAATGTTTATACATTTTGAGTTAGTGGAGTTTTTATTTCCATTAACTGTAAACCGTAAATTAAGATGAAAGCAAAAAGGGTTTGAAATGCTTCGCTTTGTGTAATGAATCTAGAAAATATCAAAGATTCAATTTTTTAATTAAATTACGTTAGAAAATTAACTTCACCAAAATGATAAGCTGTATTTAATTTATATTTTTTAATCACCTGAAGAATTTATTGATCTGCACAGAGTAATTATGAATCCCACTAGGTGGTATTTATTATGACGTTGCAAACTCTGTAGTAAATAGGTGAGTCTATACAATGTAAACCACACGAGATCTTCTCAGAGGTTGCAATGACACCTCGTACAGGGCTTGAACTATTCAGTGTGCAGATAATTCTTTTCCACAACAGAGTAACTTCTCAGTCAATGTCACATTTGTCTCTTAAAGAAATGTAAAAATAAAACCGTATATAACATCAACCTTTCATTTTTTGACATATATGTAAAATATAAATAACATCTTAATATTTTCATTTACAGCTGTTAACTATAATATATTATGTTTAGATCACACTATTTAAAATTAAAATATTAAACTGATGATGAATGAAGAATGATTTTATTATGTATAATTAGTCTGATACACTTTATAACAAAGTATTCCTAATACAAAAGCAATAGTTTTGTAGTGGGACAACGGTGTGGATTTGTGCATTTTATATTGAATAAATTTGGAGCTACTCCAAATTCCTCTTTTCCTCTCCCAGAGAGGAGCAGGGGGGTTAAAGATCAACTTTCAACAGACTGCTGAAGAGACCCCAACGGAAGTGGGGGTGGAAAGTTGTTTTCTTTAACTGCTATGCCTGGGCAGTTGATCGTAAAACTGGCGCCTTTTTGATATACGAAGCTGATAAAGTGTTGCCTGACTGTTAAACTGACAAAAGGGACACTAACCAGCGATTAGCATTTCCCTGAACAGCCTATCAAAACTGCCCCCCCCACACGTAAAGGGATACTCCTTGTCTCACCAAAGTGTGACATAACCCAGGAAGCCGAACTTTAAATAACCAAAGACTGCAGTCTCCAAAAATCTGCTATCTGTTGATATTAGTGCTGAGAAGAATCTAAATAAGTTACTTTTGCAGTGTTTTTTTTTTTCAGCAAGACACTCCGTCATCTAATGTGTAACCAATGCTTGTTCACAATACTTTCTCACAAAATTCCTTTAGAAATGATGATAAAGAAATGTCATACTATACTCTAGTAATTATCCAGCTTGAATTTAAGGTTGAATTCCCCATTTGCTAAGGAAAGATTGTTTTGGGTTAATCTAAGCTTTCCTCATGTAACCTGAGCTCCCCCAAGTGGACGAAATAAGTATTAAATACCAGTGTTGGAAATGCAGTCAATGTATAAATATCCTGACCAATAATGTGACAATTGTTTCCTGTTACCAAATGCTTAACTTAGAACGGTACAACCGTTTGACCATTGAGGTTTGATTGTGGAAAATATTTGATTATAATACGTGCAAATAGATTTCTTTTTTTCTTTTAGACATTAAGTTTAGAAAGGCAGTCCCTCGGGAAACCTGAAACGCCCTCTGGGGAACCACGCCCCAGGCAACAAAAGAGCGACACGCGACGTTGTTCGCTCTCTCTCGGCTCTCTGCTCTTCTCCTCCCCCCGTGCCCTGGCCTTCCGCTCTGCTCTCTGGACGCTTCGGCACGCGTCCGGCGTGCCTCTCCGGGCAACGCCTAAGAGTCGGTCAGTGCAACAGGCCTTTGTTCGCTTGAAGCTACACGCGTGCCACGACATCGATCTGCCCCTCAGTTTGTTTTATTTTCTTTCTTTCTATTGTTTTGTTAAAGTTATCAGTCCGTTAAGTTACACTGGACTAATTCAGGAACGACCAAGTTCCATTTTAATCTTTTTCGTCGAGCTAACTTCACCGAGGTCAGACCAAGCCACGTGGTCTCGCCAGCGGCAACGAAGGAAACCTGAAAACAGCCGAATTGCCAGACGGAGGAGGGCGTTTTCAGACACGGAGAACCCCAGAGAATCCCTAGCAAAAAGCCAGGATCGGACAGCTAGCATGGGACCCGTGCAACAGGCCAAAGCAGGCCCTCGACAAGCCGTAAGACCAAAAATAAACAAACAAACATTCTGTAGTCAGAGATGTCCCGTAATGTTAATATTTCCTTTTAACTCCTAAACTCATAGCTTACTTTCATTAGTTCTCCTCTGCTGTATGAGTCACATGCTTCCCACAATTGAACCTCCATTGCTCATTGTTCAGCCATTGTTTATTTTCCCTGTATTTAACCACCCGTTTATATCGCTTTACTTAACTTTAGTTATTAATAAATTCACTGTAATCAGGAAACTGTGTGTGTTGCCTATTTCCACGTCCCGGCCAAGAGAATTGACCCTTTAGATATGAGACTGACTGATTGATTTAAGATAATTATTAGCGATTATTAACTGATCACTAGTAATAATTGTATAATTATTAAAAGCTACCTAGAGGTCCGGAGACTCGGAGACCTGAAACGAGGAATATTTTTTAGATTTTATGAATATGAAAATTCATAATCGGGTATTAATTCTCATAAATGTATTAAAATTCATAAACAATTTAGCCATGCTACAGTTCAATAAATTAAACTCTTGTCTTGCATTCATGAAAACATCAATATTAAAAGGTTACAAATGTAAAAGTAGTTTTGTATGACCTGAAATGTGTTTAGAACCCTGTGTCATAATTTCACATCAGTAGTGTTCAGGTGTTGTGAGTACAAAGAAAAGGCTGCGCAAAGCAGGAGCTGAAGAGCTGGAAGCTGGAGCTGTTCTCTCCTGAAGAGCTGGACACAGCTAATCACATCTGGAGGGTTCTGCAATCAGCTCCTCTGGCACCTGTAAAGACAACAATGGGTAGACAGTTAAGCAGCTTCTTCCAAAGTGCCATAAAGCTGCTGAAATCTGAGATCACCTCAGCATGAAAACCTCTCTGGCATGTGACAGTAATTAGTGGTGGCAATGTGTAAATACACTGTTTCCTAATATGTGCAATATACGGTTTTCTGCTGGACACTGTGCAACAATAACTACTCAAGTCAGATCTTATTGAACGTTTATTGTAAGGATCTTATTATATATTTCTTATTGAAATGTACTACATTTTTTGGCAAATTCTAACCCACCAAACAAACTCAGAGGCGGCTCTCGCACACCTAATTTCTAGCCTTAACTAAACTATCGCTCTCGTTACAGCAAAGCTACCTGTCTGCAGGCATAACGCGCATTATATGCTGACAAAAAAGGTGGATGAAGATCTCTGCAGGTAGCCTACAACAGCTGTTCTGCCGAATTATGCATCCACCTCTTAAGCTCCTCATCAGAAACGTCACTGATCAAATTCAGTTATCACCTCAGATTGTTTGCTGAATCTCAAGGAATGCTACATGTACTGGGTGTAATAACTTATTGATGACTCTAAACGGTCTTAAATAGTGTCATCGGTGCTCCTCGGTGTGACAGTTTCAGGCAGAACTCCGCAGCTGCTCCCCTCTCGGCTCTCTGCCTTTAAACCCTTCTTGTCCATCGGGATCAGGTGCAGCCACTTATAATAGTATCTAACTGAACAGTGACTCCGTTACAGGACGTAGCTAAATCTCACATCGCCCGTTAGTAAAAGTTACCGTTAACATAACGTCAGCTAACTGAGAGCTGAGCCTTTAATTACCACTTCACACAGAGGTCTTTTCTTCAAAGCATTATCACCCTAATGTCTAACACTAAGGTTAATCTAATAACGTTACATTTTGGCGTCTCCCTTCTTACTGACTTGTCTTTGACTCATTAAAAGCTGCGGTTAGAACATACTAACTTACTTACTTACATACTTAGCAGCTTGGGGCTGCTCGTATCTGGCGAACTAACGTTAAGCTAACAAGCTATATGCCGATACCTGTTAAATGTTAACACATAAATAAAATACAGGAATTTCACTCACCAAATAGAACACGGATTTCCCGGAGGTTCTCTCTCCAATGAACTGCACAGCCTGCCATTATTCATCCGGTATCTGCATGTAGAAATGCCCAAAAAGCTCCGACAGGCTGAGCCTCAGAGCTCCGTGTAGCTGAGTGAGGCTAACAGACGGCGGACCGAGTGCTAGCAGTGGCAGCGGCTAATGGCGCCTGTCAATCAAAGCGGCCACGCCCCTAATAATGCAGAACTTTAAGGCTTAATATAATTTAAACAGGTAAGTTATAAAAAATTCACCCCCCTCACAGTTGTCACGAAAGGCAAAAATAATGATATGCACTAAAACCATTTTTTGAACCAGGCTGTAAACATGTTTTATTCTGCTGTAAAGTTGGGCATTTTAACATGGGGGTCAATGGAGATCGACTCCCTTCTGCAGCCAGCCTCAAGTGGCCACTCGATGAATTGCAGTTTCAGATACTTGTGAGAGACGGAGGTTGCCGCTTAGATAAATCAGCCAAACTCTTGACAAACTTTAAAAAGAGCTGTTTTAATGTTGACAGCACTATTATGTCCAGAAAACAAGAGAACTGAAGGAAATTTAAAACTTAACTGGACAAGAGCAGAATACATGAACTGACCTCAGAGTCTCCAGTCTACAGTGTGGACTGTCCAGTCCAGCAGACAGCAGCTTCACTGCTGAATCCTGCAGCTTGTTGTCACTCAGGTGCAGCTCTCTCAGATAGGAGGGGTTGGACTTCAGAGCTGAGGCCACAACTTCACAGTGAATTTCTGAGAATCCACACTTATATAGTCTGTAAAATTAAATCCGACACTTTATTATAAAAACATTTTGCATCACAAAGCACATTAAAGGGGCTATATGTAAGTTTGTCAATGAAATTACTTATTAATGAATCTAATTTTCATTTACTTATTGCCAATGGGCTCAAAACTCACTTCTGTTTTCTCTATTGCTTGCATCAGCCATTATTCTGCTGTAAATCAGAATCAGACGGAGCTTTATTGCCAAGTGGTGTTTTACACATACCCATAATTTGCTGTGGTAATAAGGTGCTACACGTAGACAAACATAGTCAACATAAATAAATGTAGAAATAATAAATATGGAATGGAAGAACAACGTTACAGATATATAAATGAGCATTATTCTGGGTCTGTGCTGTGCAGAAGTAACGCAACGGAAGAGAACACTGTGTACATATAAATATATAAACTGACAACATAAAAATAACAACAAAGATCAACAATCAACAACAAATATGTGCGACGTGCCAGGTCTGTGCCTGACTCAAGATGAAACAATATTTACATGTGCAGAGACATTTGTATCATTTGTAAGGGTGGAGTGTCAGTAGGGGACCCGGGCCTTGTTAATGAGGCTAGTTGCAGACGGGAAGAAACTGTTTTTGTGGCAAGAAGTTTTGGTCCTGATGGACCACAGCCTCCTGCCAGAGGGGAGACTCTGAAACAGTTTGTGTCCGGGGTGGGAGGGGTCAGCTGCAATCTTTCCTGCTCGCCTCAGAGTCCTCGAGGTGTACATGTCCTGAAGAGAAGGAAGAATGCAGCCAATCACCTTCTCCGCAGAGCGAATGATACGCTGCAGCCTTCCCTTGTCCCTGGCGGTGGCAGCAGCGTACCAGATGGTGGTGGAGGAGGTGAGGATGGACTCAATGATGGCGGTGTAGAAGTGCACCATCATTGTTTTGGCAGGCTGAACTTCTTCAGCTGCTGCAGGAAGTACACCCTCTGCTGGGCCTTTTTGATGATGGAGGTGATGTTCAGCATCCACTTGAGGTCCTGGGAGATGATGGTGCGGAAGGAGTCCATAGTAGTGACTGGGGAGTCACACAGGATGATGGGGGAGGGTGGGGCTGGGCTCTTCCTGAAGTCCACGACCATCTCCACTGTCTTCTGAGCGTTGAGCTCCAGACTGTTCTGGCTGCACCAGGTCACCAGATGGTCGATCTCCCACCTGTAGGTGGACTCATCCCCACCTGAGATGAGCCCAATGAGGGTGGTGTCGTCCGCAAACTTCAGGAGCTTGACAGACTGGTGACTGGAGGTGCAGCTGTTGGTATACAAGAAATAGAGCAGAGGGGAGAGAACGCAACCTTGAGGGGAACCTGTGCTGATAGTTCTGGAATCAGAGACATGTTTTCCCAGCTTCACGTGCTGCTTCCTGTCCGTCAGGAAGTCAGTGATCCACCTGCAGGTGGAGTCTGGCATGTTCAGCTGGGAGAGCTTGTCCTGCAGCAGGGCCGGGATGATGGTGTTAAAAGCAGAGCTGAAATCCACAAACAGGATCCTGGCGGAGGTTCCTGGGGAGTCCAGGTGCTGGAGGATGTAGTGAAGGGCCATGTTTACTGCATCATCTACAGACCTGTTGGCTCTGTAGGCGAACTGCAGGTGGTCCAGGAGAGGGTCTGTAATGGATTTTAGGTGGGACAACACAAGGCGTTCAAAGGACTTCATAACCACAGAGGCCAGGGCGACGGGTCTGTAGTCGTTTAGTCCAGTGGTCCTTGGTTTCTTGGGGACAGGGATGATGGTGGAGGCTTTGAAGCAAGCTGGCACATGGCATGTCTCCAGTGAGGTGTTAAAAATGTCTGTGAACACCGGAGACAGCTGATCAGCACAGTGCTTCAGGGTGGATTCGGAGACAGAGTCCGGCCCAGCTGCTTTGCAGGGTTTCTACCTCCTGAAAAGACCGCTGACTTCCCTCTCTGTGATGGAGAGAGGAGGGGAGGGGGTGGAGCTGGCCAGCTCTGAGGAGGGAGGGGAAGAAGCGGTGGACCAAGGCTGAAGCTGAGCGGAGGAGTCACGGGGGATGGTGTCCGATTGACTCTCAAAGGGGCAGTAGAACTGGTTCAGCTCATTTGCCAGGCGAGAATCGTTTATGGAGTGGGGGACTTTGGGTTTATAGTTTGTGATCTGTCTGAACCCCCTCCAGACAGAAGTGGCATCGTTTGCAGAGAACTCATTCTTTAGTCTCTCTGCGTACAGTCGTTTAGCTTCTCAAACCTCCCTGCTAAACCTGTACTTTAACGCCCTGCACCCGGACCTGTCACCACTCCTAAATGCCTCCTCCTTTGCCAACCTCAGCTGTCTAAGCTTAGCTGTGATCCAGGGTTTTTTATTTTTATAACTCACCCTCGTGCATATTGGTATGTGTCCTCACAGAAGCTGATGTAGGACGTTACAGCCTCTGTAAACTCATCCAGGTTGTTGGTTGCATTCTTGAAAACATCCCAGTCAGTGCGGTCCAAACATGCCTGGAGGTCCTCAACAGCTTCACTAGTCCACTTCTTTGATGTCCTCACTACAGGTTTACAGAGCTTTAGTGTTTGCCTGTAAGCGGGAATCAGATGGACCATCACGTGATCAGAGTGACCTAGTGGAGCGTGTGGGACGGCGTGATAGGTACTGCTAACTGTGGTGTAGCAATAATCCAAAGTGTTCCCCTCTCTGGTTGGACACTTTATAAACTGTCTGTATTTGGGGAGGTCTTGGCTGAGATTTCCCCTGTTAAAGTCACCGAGAACAATAACAAGGGAGTCCAGGTTTGTCTGCTCCACACACAGTGAGGAAACCAGGTCGAGGGCAGCCCTGTGCGTGCTCCCGAGCCTCTCTGACTACAGCGACAACACCGTAGCTAACGACATGCAGTTCACTAACACCATAAAACATTTTCTCCAACATAAACTCCATGTAAGGAAAGAAACAATAATAAAGGTTTATGTGATGAAGTCTGTCTGACCAAACGAGATCAATTTAGATTTATTGTGGTTTTACCGATACTCAGGTACACAGCTTCTGTACCTCTCAGTCGCTGTAACTAAAGTAACCCACATAATATACAATACTGCAACAAAACGGTGACAACACCACAGTGGAAGAGCCATCCACTAATACTACAGTAAAGTTACTTACTGCGGTCTAACTGTTATAAAGTCTCACAACAATGTTGTTAATATTCAGTCCAGCTCACTTACCGTTTTGTTATCTTCCAGTACATTTAGCTGTGTTTATATTGCTGAGCCTCCGGTGAAAGATACACAGATAGTAAAGATAGTTACTGAAAAGCAGCAGGCGAGCTAACACTGTAGCTCACGTGTCAAACTCAAGGCCTGCGGGCCGAATCCGGCCTGCCACGTCAATTTATGTGGCCCACGAAAGCTTTAAAGATTCATGATTGTCCTATAATAAAAGTCTATTCTGCCATAAACTACACCTCCCACAATGCATGTCGATTTTGTGACGGCATCCTGCCACTAGATTGCAATGTTTCCACACCCACTACGGTAGTTTTCCGACAAGCGGAGATGAGAAATGTATACTACTACAACAACAACAACAATCCCTAAATGTCCAAGATAAGAAAAATTGATGCAGGAGATCACAGACTTCACGAGCAGACAACGACTCTGTCACCCGACGCTGGTCTCCAAACCACGTTTTGTCAAGAAAACACACATGAAATGTGAAACTTGGAAATGACGCGAACCTACAGACAAAACAGCTTTGTTATTATAAAGCCAGCAATTATAAAGACAAAGAATATGATTTAAAGAATGTATTAGCACACACAGGTAGCAGGGATCATCTGAGCTACAGAGAGCGCTGCAAGGGAGTAAAATGTGTTTTGCGGTGAAAAAGTAGCTGCTACTCCACCAGCTGCCTGCTCTCATTGGCATGGATATCCATTGGATATTTGGCATGGTAGATATCTGGCAGATGTCTGTGATGTGTCAGAAATGTGTCAGGGAGCCGCTTTGATGCGCTGTTGAGTAGTTCACACGTAACGACTGGCGCCGAGCGGCAAATCGGGCTAAAAATCGTGTAGCATGAACTAGGCTTAGGCTACAGCCAGGGACGTGCACAGGGGGGTTGCTCTGGTTGCCCGGGCAACTGCCCGTTTGCCTTTCCTGACTCAAGTTGCCCTTCCGACTCGCCCTTCCGAGAAAAATAAATAAAATAAAAAAATAATCGCGATCGCAAAGCCTCATTCACTTCCATTCGGGCACCGAAAGTGAAAGTCAGTAGGGGAAGGGCAAACTCTGTTTAAGTGGCTGCACTGCTGCAGCGCTGCCTGCACGTCAGTCGATTCTGTTCCCTACCGGAATTCCTGTTTCCTTCCTTTATGCAATCATACTACAACAAATCATGCGTAGTTTTGCCCAGTTACCATACGTGATACGTACCAACAGAAGTGAATACGAGCTAGAAGCGCAACTGAATGTACGGGAAGCCAAAAGGTTAAAAAAGGATTGTATTTTTTTCCGAAATCTAAGCGTTTTTTTATTTAATATTTTATTAGAAGCGAGTTTTCCCCATCTGTCAATTCAATCTAGATTATTTATTTTCAAATAAAAAATAATAATGATTAAAAAAACAATAAACAATAATATAAGGAACTCTTTTTCTCATATGTATTTTGGTGACATTTATATTGTTAATACATTTTGGATACTGTGTTTAGTGCCTTTTTTCAGGTCAGAGCAACTGCCCTTCAAAATTCCTGTGCACGTCCCTGGCTACAGCAGCCTATACGTCTGCATTTTTCCAGGTAATCAAACTCTCTCATTATTTGGATGTATGCCCTCTGCATGCCCTCGGCTGTGTGCATTTGGACTATTTGTTTTATCAAATGCCAAATCTGTCCCTCATGTTATTAGCAGCTCACAATTATTTGTTTTACCATGTTTCTGCACCTCTGGACTGTGAAAAAGTGAAAGGTTACTGTAAAAGCTTATGTTTGATGATATTTGTTTTGCTTTGTTACTTACTTGAC